AGCAAAAAAAAAATAAAATAAAGTCAGGTACAAGCCGTACATGTATGCAAACTGTACATGACTTGCAGCGATTCCTTTTCAAGCCAAAAAAAAAAAAAAAAAAAAATGAGAGAAATCATGCTTGCTAGACTAGGAAAAGATAAAAAAAAAAAATAAAAATCTCGTCTTGTGAAAGCCCCAGGATTTCTATCCACAGTTTTTTTTGTCGTTACCAATCCGATGTGAGGCATCCTACTTTTCTATTTTTTCCTTCTTTTCTTTTTTCATGTGCTGTGTACCTGTTGGCCTTGTGAAAATCGGGTGCTTTTCCTAAGCAAAGCAAAGCAAAGCAAAGCAAAGCAAGCTCATTTGTATGTCCTGGTCATGTCAAATGCAACCTGTATTTACGAGCCACATTAGAGCAGATTACATGTGTATAATATATAATATGGTATATATAATATATATATGTATGTATATGTCCTATATGTTTATCCATGTACTTCTGCATGTAGCCTAAGCACTCGGATCCCTTTGTCATGATGTTTCTTTCTATGCACGCCAGGTGCAAGGGCCATCAAAAAAGTAGCCGATACCCAAACCTTTTTTTTTTTAATCTTTTTCTTTATGCTGACGCCATTGAATACAACATATACATGTGTCCTTCAGAGCATATGCATCAAGAGGAGAATAAGGAAGGAAGGGAAAAGAGAGAAAAAGAGAGAGAGAGAGGGAGAGGAAGAGAGCAAGAGAGAGGAAGAGAGAGCGCGCGAAGGAAGGGAAGAGGGGTTAGGGAGCCTGTAGTTTAGTTTGCGGAGCAGTAAAAGAATAAAAAAAAAATAAAAGCGTCCGCGTGTTACCCGCCAATTTTTTTTTTTTTTTTTTTTTTTTACTTTATGCTTTTTTGTTTTTTCTGTATCCCAGGGGAACCGTGCCCTGTTTTTTTTTGTGCTCTTTCGGACGAAAATCCCCCGCAAGATCAGTGCTCAACAAAGGGAACAAAGGATTGAAGGCAGGAAGCTGCATCATGATTGGATAGCTCGGCTATTTTCCCTCCATGTCAGGTACACAAAACAAACAAACAAATAAGCAAAAAAAAAAAAAAAAAAAAAAAAAAAAAAAATGCGAAATGGGTGTTATCCAACCAAGTTAACTACAGTCGTTAGTTAGTTAGTTAGTCAGTTAGTATTTATGCCAGAAAGGAAGGAAAAAATAAAGTCAAACTGTTTGGTCGAATGACCGTTATATAATACAATATAAACATACCCATGCCCATACCCAGGAACGTTTATTTTCAGGGACAATGTCAGCAACGACAATAAAAAACAAAAAACATTAAAACAAAAAACAAAAAAGTGTAAAAAAAAACAAAACAAAAAAGGAAACAAAAAAAAAAAAAAAGAAAAAAAGAAAGAGAAAAAAAAGGCCTAAAGAGTGAAGAGAGCTAAAGAGCTGGAAGAGCTGGAAGAGCTGAAGAGCTGGAGGATTGGAGGAGGAATGGCAAGTATTTATCATAGCGTGCAGAAGGCTCATAGCCTAAACTTGATTCCATCTTTCTTTTTTTTTTTTTTTTTTCTTTTTTCTTTTTACAAGAAATGAGGGTGGAGCACAGAAACTGGTTGAGGAGAGCGATGAAAAGAGTCCCCTCAGAATTTGTAGTTACATAGTCAGACCTACTGGAACTATTTTTTTTTTTCTTTCTTTCTTTCTTTCAAGGAGAAAAGGAAAGGCAGTGGCAATGAGCGCATGAATGGATGTTACATATTCATCAAGGGTTCAAGTGTATGACAAAGAGAGTGGCAAGAAATCCTTGTAACGCGTTACACGCTTTTTTTTTTTTTTTTTTTTTTTTACGTTTTAAAAATAGTTTATGGATGGACGTGTTAACAACAAAAAAAATAAAGAGAGAGAGAGAGAGAGAGAAGCTTGAAGTTCTATGAAACATTCTCAAGCATCAAAAGCATGTTTAGACGCGTTTTCTTTCTCCTCAATGAACACAGGGTCATTATTACTAATTCCTTCATTGCTTCCCCTAACCCTCAAGGTTAATGGGTTACATGAAAAGGATGAAACAATCGTCATGATGTTTTTTTTTTTTTTTTTATAGTTATTATTAGTATACGATGGTAGATGCTTCAAAACAAAAGAAAAACAATTGAAAAACAAAAAAAAAAAAAAAAAAAAAAAAAAGAAACAAGGAAATAACGGAGCAAGGAGAAAGAGAGAGAGAGCGAGAGAGAGAGCGAAGGAGAGCGAGAGAGTGCGTGAGTTGTACTCCTTGTAACGTCCCATCTGTTACAATCTCAAGGCAGTTAAATATCTATAATGCAGTATCAGGTCATGTATGATCACATTCCTGGCCCTGTATCTGCGACATTCTCAAGCAATTAGATGATTAAACACGAAGACTAAGACATAGGAGAAAGGGTCCAAGCAGCCATTGACATTATTAAACAAGTGTCTAATTGCCCAATTGCCCTATTTTTACGTTATAATTAAACATAATATAATATGGTTAATACCAATAGAATGGAATAAGAAAAAAACAAAAAACAAAGGCATTTGATGCCAATAAGGTGTTTTCGTTTGGTGTGTCAAGTTCAATAAATATACAAAGGAAAAAGAGAGGAAGCAGGATCGACATGTCAGGGACGAACAAGAGATTAAAAAAAGAATAAATATAAAAAAAGAAAGAGGATGTGCGAGTGTTTGAGAGAAGGGCGCGTCTCGATCCATTTCAGACTGAGACACGTTCGTGTCAAGGGCCGCTAACAGCTCTGTTGCAGAACGGTCGTACACACATACCCAAAACTTCCAAAAGGGTCAAAAGACTGATTGAAGGTTTCAAGAAGGAGTATCGTACGCAGGTTGATAAAGCCAGAGAATGTAAGAATGGAGGGAAATAATAATAATAAAATAAACAAATAAAACAAAGATTGAAGAGAGAGAGAGAGAGAGAGAGGAGGGGCCACCAAAGTGAAATGCAAAAAAAAAAAAAAAAAAAAAAAAAGACACAAAGCGTGCGACCGTGCTCAAAAATCTCGCCGAGAGAGGGCCCCTACATGTCTTGCTTTCTGTCAATTTGTGTGCCTTGCATTATTCTATTCTGCAGCGCTGCAGACCGATGGTCTACTGATCAGCAAAAGACCGGTTTCTTCTTCCTGTTCATTCACTCTCTCTATTTTTCTTTCTTTCTCTCTCTTTTGCTCTCTCTCTTTTGCTCTCTCTCTTTTGCTCTCTCTCTCTCTCTCTCTCTCTCTCTCTCTCTCTCTTCAATCTTTCTCTCTGTTGCTCTTTCGTCTCTTTGATTTCAAGCATCTGTGATATTATATATATAGACTCGATTTTTTTTTTCTTTTTATTGCAAATGTGAATGCAAGTCTGCTAGTATGCCAGTATGTTAGTATGCTAGTATAAAAAGAAAAATAAAAGAGACAATGATGAGAGAAAGTATGAACAAAAGTAGAGTGATCCTTTATCGATGGGGAATAGTTGGGCGGAGGTGTAAAAAAAAAAAAAAAAAAAATGACTTGTCTTGTCTTTGGTCTGGTCTGTCTTCAAAAGTCTTTTTAAATGGGTTAAATGGGTTAAATGGTTAGGGGAACAACAGCTGACGCTCATTTTTTTCTTTGGAAGCAATTACGATCGGAAACACTATTTTAGTCCGCAATAGTTGAATGTGCAGGAACAAAAAGAGAGGGAGAGAGCATGCTTATATGGAGAGGACATCGTTGTCATGTTCAATAACAGAAATGTATAACACAATGCATAGCGACTGAATGAGACATTAAGGAATTCAATAGTCGATTGAATGTAAGGGAATAAATAAATCAATCAGTCCATCATCGATATATATATATATATATATCTATTATAGAATACAAACCTCAATTGAATAAACATATATATACTTTACACATGTATATCATATCATATCGTATAATATTAATATTTATATATATATATATATATATATATATTATAACATATGCATATTAATAAATATACACCAACCCACAGATATACTCATAATCCATTCAATCGATAGATAACATATATATATAGTATACATACACATATAGAATAGATAGTATTTAGATAAATATGTATATATAATAGAATAGCTTTCAATGGGATTGAACGGGCATTTAGTATAATAAATAAACGAAAGAGTAATGTAAAGAAACCAAAAGTGCTCTTTCTCCTTATCCCTCACTCACAGACCCTGTCGGGGACTCACTTCGCTGATTTTTTTCTCGTCTGTCGCCTTTCCTTCTCAAACCGTATATATACTTCTGAATCCCACCTTTTCTTTTTCTTTTTTTTTTGTTCCTCATCCTCCTCCTCCTTCTTCTTCTTCACAACGCAGAGAAAAAAAAAAAAAAAAGCTGCAACAAACCATTCTAATACATACTTCTCCCTTCGGCCTTTTTTTTTTTTGTTACTTCCTCGAGACATCCAAAGGTTCCACCTTCCCTTCATCTTCTAAAACATTTCTCACATCGTCTTGGTAAGACAAACTACTCTTTTTTTGTTTTACTTCCCTTCTCCATTCTTCTTCTTCCCCTTTGGAGACCATGGGCTCACTAGTTCCTCAGTGAGGGAGCAAGCTTGATCCCATCCATCTTGGTTACTCCCTATCACTTTGTAGCTTTTGTATAGGCGCGACTTGACTGACCTTTTATTTTGTTTCTAACGATGATTTCATTAGACATCCATAATAATTCCATCACAAAGACTTTCTACAATGGACATCTCCGCAATTCAAAGTAAGCTTCCAACCCAACATCCATCTCTTTCCTTTTCGATCCTTAACCTATTCCCTTTCCTTCCCATACCCTCTCCACACTTGAAGAACCGAGACATCATTTGCCACTCATCCCCTATGCCCCCCAACTACTTCAGCTTACCCCTCCTTCCACCATGCTTACATGTTACACATGGGTAGACATAGTCATTAACCAATCATCCTTTCAATTCTCCACTCCCTTCCAGACTTTGAACCAAGAAAGTTCGCCCCCATGCCTGTACCACAACCTCATATGCACCAGATGACTGCCTTCAAGGCACCACTTCAGATCCAGGCTCCTCGCGTTCTTGAATTCACTCCCCAGTTCGGCAACGAGGGCTCCACCTTCACTGTCACCCTCCAATCAAGCCCAGACAGGTCACTCCGCATTGGCTTTGGTACATTGGTCGTCGACACAAAGCAATATGCTGCCAACGGATACGTTACCCTCAGCTGCACAGTCCCCAACTTCTCCATCACAAAATGGTTCTCCAACAAGGTCCCTCTCTATGTTCTCCAGATGGAGAACGATATGGTCTTGGAGAGCTGGCCCTTCGGTGACTTTACCTACTATGATGATCCCCAGAGCAAGCGTCTTAGCACCGACCGAAGCATATACGCCCAGACCTTGAACCAAAGCCCTGTTGCCAACAAGAAGCACATCATCGACATTGACATGAGCTCACCCTTGTCCTCCGCAACCACCAGCCCTCTCACCAGCCTTCCTCGCCGTAAGTAGTAAACTATCTCTTTTTTTTTTTTTTTTTTTTTTTTTAATTCTTTTTCGAAAAGATTTATATAAAAAAAAAAAAAAAATTTCTAGACTAATCAAACTTTTTTTTCCCCATCCAATAGATGACTACTCCACAGCCACCAACAACACAATGACCACGATGACACCTGCTGCATACTCTCGACCTGGATATTACAATACCAGTAAGTAATCAATCATTAATGTATCAACTTTATTATCATCGCCCCTCCCCCTTGATTATTGCATCCTTCTAACGATCTTTATTTTATTCTTTCTCACTTTAATTTACAAATAGATCAAATGATGACCTCTCAGATGCCCTCATACTCACAAGCTGATCTCACCGCTACCTCGACCTACGCCATGACCACAGCCACCAACAGTACCGGTTACATCCACCCTTCACAGCCAATGACCACTCCTTACCCCAGTGCTAGCATCAACTCGGCTCTCCCCATCAGCAGCTATAGCCCTCCTTACTCCAGTCTGTTGAACAAGGCCAACCTCAAGTTCAATGGCAACTTGGAAGACATGGCCATCAACTGGAGCGGAGAGGAGTGGGAGTCCCACCGTCGTCTTGTCCAGTTCTGGAGACGTCAGGACAACAGCGATATCTACTGCAACTTTGCACCCGTTGCTCCATCTCAGCGCCAGCCCAACAGCATTGTTGTCTCCTGCATCTACTGGGCCGAGAAGAACGACTGCTTCTTGACCTCGGTCGACTGCATCTACTTGTTGGAGTCCTTGATCGGAGTCCGGTTCACGGTTGAGGAGAAGAACCGAATCCGTCGCAACCTCGAGGGATTCCGTCCTATTACCGTCTCAAAGTGCAAGCCCGAGAGCGCAGAGTTCTTCAAGCTCATCATGTCCTTCCCCAATCCCAAGCCCAGAAACATTGAGAAGGATGTGAAGGTCTTCCCTTGGAAGGTTCTTTCCTATGCTCTCAAGAAGATCATCAGCAAGTACACTGCCTCCTACAGCAGCACAGCCAGCATCCAGAACGAGGCTTTCCACAACATCAACTTTCCCCATGGATCGACCCTTCCCTTGACGGCACAACAGCAATCTCTTCTCGAGTCCAGCATGAGTGTATAATGAGCGAGCGAGTCTTTTTTTTTTTTTTATTTTTATTTTTCGCATCACTTTTTTTTTTTTTTTTATTTTTTTTATTATTATTATTATTATTATTGTTTATATATATATTCGCCATCATCTTGCATCCCTCTTTCTCGTTCATTTTGCCAGCATTGCATCTTGGGGAGTTTTCTTTTCTTTTCTTTTTTCAGTCCTGTGTCATAGTTTCCATGCTTTTTTTTTTCTTTTTTTTTTTCTTTTTTCTTTCTTTCTTCTCGCTGTTTAATCCTTGTAGTCTAGCTCCTTTTTTTTTTTTCTTCTTTTTTTTCATGTATATTTTTCTCCTCTTTTTTTTTTTTTTTTTCTTTTTATTAAATGTTTATCATGTTACATTATTCTTCAAAGAAAAAAAAAATTTAAAAAAAAAAAAAAAAAAGCAGCCATATAATCTGCAGCAAATAAATTGAAAAACAAAAAACTTCTTGATCTGTTTGATTTGTGCTTTGGTTTGACTGCTTTTAACTTTGAACAAAAAAAAAAAAAAAAAATTGCTATGCTGAACATGCTAAAAAAAAAGATATGCAAGTTGGGGGAAGTGGAAAAAGATCCAACTCACTAAACCCAAAAAGGGGAGGAGGGATTTTCAAACTCCCATCTTTTTAGCTTCCTTCTTTGTCGTCATATTTTTTTTTTTTTTTTATTTCTTTTTCTATTTCTATTTCTATTTCTTTTTCATTTTCTTTTTCTATGACATAAATGAAGGTGACAGTGCGTCATTCATCAAATCAAATCAAATCAAATAAAAAAAAAAAAAAAAAGAAAAGTCGCTGTTCTTATGACGCGTTTTTATTTTATTCCGCAATCCATAAAGTCCATTACATTAAACCCTACTAGTACCTTCCCTTCCATGATATAACAATATAGATATTCTTCTTTCCATTAAAACCAAAAAAGGAAAAAAAAAAAAAAAAAAAAGCCACATGGCAAAAGAGAGTTAAAGTTTGTCTTATACACATGTACATTTATACCATTTATACATCTGGACACTATTCCTGGATTCCAAAAAAAAAAATAGCCAAAGTGGTTTCTTTTCTTGAACACAAGAAAGTAAGCAAGCGAGTAAGCAAGAGTCTAAGCAAGTGAGTGAAAAAAAAAAAAAAAAAAAAAAAAAAAAAAACGGCAGCCGTTGGGAGGAGAAATTCATTCTTCCTTAAATCCTGTGCTCGTTCTTGTTCTTGTTCTTGTTCTTGTTCTTGTTCTTGTGTTACCATCATTGTCTTCTGCTTTGTTTCCTTGTAATCCTTTCACGGATCTAAAGTTAGTTCAGCTTCATCAACCAGATACTGATATTTTTTTCATGTTGTAAAGTTGGCAGCAAGAGTGCCAGGGTGAGATGAGGAACCGCTTTTTTTTTTTTTTTTTTTTTTTCACAAGCCATCAAAGAGCTGGACCGTTAATTCATCACGTGATATGTCTGATTGCTAGGTGGGGTGGATTGGGCGAGGCATTTAGGAATATCAGATACGGCTGTCCGGGGAAAACTCTGTCCGCTTTCGGATGGTGCGGGAGAGAGAAAGAGAGAGCATGGAACGAAGAGCAGTCATAGTTGTGTATGGGAGAGAGAGGGAGAGAGAGAGAGAAAGAAAGAGAGAGAAGCATCATCTGATCGCTGTCTGTGTTCCTTCATCCTTCCTTCTTTTCCTCATTCACTTTTTTTTTTTTTTTTTACTTTTCATCATCTCTTTTCTCCTACTTTACACTTTATTTTTTTATTTATTTTTTTTTCCTAAATATATACCAAGTAGTGTAACCAGCAGACATGGATAACCCACTTTTGTCAGTTCTCAACAACACACTCACGACTGTGTCTAGGGGGTTGCAAGCTGTGCCTGGTTCTGGAATTGCTATTGACTACATCAAGAACTCTTACCAGAATGATCCCTTCCGAGTCGTCCTTGAACTCGGACTGGCCATCTACGCAGTCAAGTATATGCTATCCAAGAAATATCGCATTGATCAAAACCATGTTCAATTGACAGAGAAGGTTAGGAAATAGGATTAAAATACGGATTTGGATATGGATTTAGATACAAATTTGGATACGGATACAGATATGGATACAGATACGGATACGGATAGACAGAGGGACCTCCAACTACAACTCGCCTATTGCTTTATGTGCTTTGTCCTGAACCTGACCTTTTTCTTTCTTTCTTTTTTTCTTCTTCTTCTTCTTCCTCTTTCCACTTTTTAGGAAATCGATGAACTCGTAGCAGAATGGCAACCAGAACCTCTTGTCCAGCCACTGTCGGATATTCAGCGCATGGAACTTGCGAAATCCCAAATCATTGTTGGGTAAAGAAAGAAAGGGGCAGATCTCATTACCTATCCCGACTGTCAAAAAAGAAAATCACACATTGTTTATTGACAGTATCTTTTTTTTTTTTTTTTTTTTTTTCTTTGGACCTTCCCCTCTTATTTGGAAAAAAAAAAAAAAAAAAAAAAAAAAAAACTCGTTTTTCAAACAGAGCTCAAGGACCAAAGCCAAAGGTACTTTCCACTGGAAAGAACTTGCTAAACCTTGCTAGTGTGAATTACATGGGATATACTACAAATGAGGATATCAAGGTAAATGAATCATGGACAAAAGCACAAAAGGAAAACTCTTCTCCTGTTCTCTCTCTTTCTTTGGCTGACATTCCTGTTATATCATTATCTAACTCTTTAATCCTTTGACGTATAATTTATTTCCTTTCATTTCACAGAAGACGGCCGTCGAAACGTTGCACAAGTACGGTGTAGGTTCATGCGGCCCTCCTGGATTCTATGGAACACTTGGTAAGGGAGGAAAACAAGACAAGAAGTAACAACGAGGAAATAAAAAACGGAAAGCGGAAGGAGGGGGGGGGGGGGGGGGAGGAGGATTTTTTGCTGCTACTGTTACTAATGATCATACTGATGCTTTATAGATGTTCATATCGAGCTGGAGAAGGATATTGCACGCTTTTTGGGAACCGAATCGGCTATCATCTATGCTCAAGGCTTCTCTACCATTGCCTCCGTCATTTCGGCCTTCTCTAAGCGTGGAGATATCATTGTTGCGTATGTACCAATTATAGGCCTTTATAACTGTTTCTTTCTTTCTTTCTTTCTTTCTTTCTTTAACCTTTCTTTTTTCATATTCTACTGTCACTATTACCATAGCGATGACGGATGTAACTTTGCTATCCAGAAGGGAACCCAGATCTCGCGCTCTGTTATCAGATGGTTCAAACATAATGATATGGAGGATTTAGAACGCGTTCTTGAATCCATCCGCCTTGAAACATTGGCAGTAAGAGTCTGTTCACTTTTTTTTATTTTTATTTTTTATTTTTTTTCCTTTTTCCTTTTTCCTTTTTCCTTTTAATTCAACACGAGTTGAAAAAGCACAATGATCGGTGAGGATATTCATATGTGCTTCTCCTTACTCTTTTTTTCTTTTCTTATTCTTTTGAATATAGCACAAGAAGAGACCTTTGACGCGCCGCTTTATTGTCACGGAGGGCTTGTTCCAGAACTATGGTGACATTGCGCCTCTTGACAAGATCATGGAGCTGAAACAAAAGTACAAGTATCGAGTGATTTTGGACGAGTCCAACTCCTTTGGTATCATGGGCAAGACAGGACGTGGTATGACCGAAGTGTTCAACATCCAGCCCAAGGAGATTGATATGATTGTTGGATCCATGGCCAATACTCTTTCAGCCGCAGGGGGGTTCTGTGCAGGTGCCAAGGAAGTTGTGGATCATCAACGCTTGTCAGGTCAGGCCTTTGTCTTCTCTGCATCCATTCCTGCTATGCTTGCTGTCTGTGCATCAGAGGCTATCAAGATCCTTAGTTCGACTCCTCAAGGCCCCAAATTATTAAAGGATCTGCAAGCCAATGCTTCAGCGTTCAGGAATGTCATCATTACTGCACCACAATGGATCGAGGTCAGTTCCGCTCCTGAGTCTCCAATCTTGCACTTGCGGTTCCCCAAGGCAGCCCTGACTACGGCTGGTGTCCAAACCCGAGATGATGAAAAGTTGCTTCTTCAAGAAATTGTTGATGAGGTATGTATACACATATATATATATATATATATATATATATATATGAAGTGATTCTATCAGCTGATCTTGCGTTAAGAGAACGGCCTCTGGCATGTATGCATGCCTGAGCCTTCAAAAAGTTGTTTGTTTATTGTTTATAAAAAGGAAAAGAGAGAAGAGAGTCTGTTCTCACTTTATTTTTTATTTTTTATTTTCTGTTTCATGTCAAAAATAGGTGGCTATTAAAGATGGTCTGTTGATTACAAGAGCCAAGTATGTTGAACATCAGGAAAAGTATCTTCCACGTCCATCGATCCGTATTTCGATTTGTGCAACACATTCAAAGAAGGAAGTCGAGAAGGCAGCACAGGCGATCAAGGCTACGTTTGGAAAAGTACTTGGTCGACGTAAATGAAGCGAAAGCCTAAGCTTCCACCGGTTGTTTAAAATCTTGAATCCTTAACAGACTACAAAAAAAAAAAAGAAAAGAAAACCTTGACAACAAACACGCTGGTTGATTAGGCAGAAAAGAAAGAAAGAAAGAAAAAAAGAAAAAATAATACATTGTCTTGGAAAGAGAGGAATGTGCGTAGAGAAGGAGGTTTCATTTCGACACATGTATATTTTATTTAGCCATTCATAGTACTTTAAATATATTATAATACTAATACTAATACTAATACTAATACTAATACTAATACTAATAATATATATCATCAATAATAACATTAATATATATAACAATATGAACTTTAAGAAGAATAAGAATAATGCATCAACTAAAACATACACGCGCGCGCACAGTCCTTGCTTCTGAGACCGGGGACATTACTTTTCTGCATGCTTACAAACAAGAAGATGTCCCCCTACCCAACTGCCCTATTTTAAATTGTATTATGAAACATACATTGCAGGGAAGAAAAAGAAAAAAAAAAAAAGAGTGCACGATCTAGGCAAACATTCTCTTTATAATCTTATATGCATGTGGATATGTAAACAAGTGGTACAAAAACTCATTACAGGGGTGTAAATAAAAAGTTGTATTAATTGAGGTTGCCACCAAAAAAAAAAAAAAAAAAAAAAAAAAAACTTAGCAGTCACATGTTACACGCACGTCCAACTATTACTTTTTTTATTCTTCGCTTTTTTCCGATCCTCTTCACTTCCCAGTGCATTGTCTTCATTGACTCTTTTCGTCATGTTCTCATCAAAGCTGATCACTAAATGTAATTTTAGCCCTGTAACAACAACCTTTACGAGACCAAGGCAAAGCACATTCCCGTCTCGCTTTTATTCTCAATTATCGTCTTCTTCACCTTCTCCTCCGTCTCCGCCTCAGAAAACAACCTTTAACAGACCTCCACCAGGACATACCAGTGCACGAGCGCCACGTTCGTCTACCACATCGAATCTGATCACATTCCTGGCTGCATCCTCCATTGGTGCTGCTGCTTACTTTTATCAATGGAACAAATACCGTGACGAGAGTGGTGTCCTTAGTGGCAGTGGCAGTGGCAGTGGCAGTGGCAGTAGTAAAAGTAAAAGTAAAAGTAGTAGTGACAATAGTGGTTTAACTATTGAAAAATGGACACCTGTGCTCTTGAAAAAGATCACGCCTGTATCCGAACATACATCCTTATTCGATTTCCAATTACAGAAACCCTGTGTGTTTCCTGTCAGTAGTGCAGTTTATGTAAAAGATGACGAGATTCAAGCAATGCGAGCATACACACCTATTCATTCATTGGAAGAAGAAAAAGAAGAAGGACAGGGAATAGGGCAGGATTCTTTTCAATTGTTGATCAAACGTTATGGAGAAGGGCAGGTATCTAGGTTCGTGCATTCTGCAAGACCTGGACAAAAGATTGAGATGCGAGGACCCATCTTGATCTGGCCTGGTAGCCGATCGGATCTGGCACAGTGGGACGAAATTGGCATGGTAAGGAAAATAATAATATACTAATAATAAAAAAGAAAGACTATCGAATCATTCATTAATTGCTCAAATAAAAATTCTCTCTTTTTTTTTTTTTTTTTTTTTTTTTTTTTTTTCAGATTGCTGGAGGAACGGGGATTACGGCAATGCTTCCTATTATTTACTCAGCATTGACACATCCTGATAAGAAGATCAAGGTCTCATTGTTATTTGCTGCACAGGTGCCAGAGGAACTGTACTTCAAAGACCAACTGGATCAATTGCAAAAGACCTATTCCAATCAGCTTTCTGTTGTCTATACTGTGGATAAAATACCCTCCTCTCCTACACCAACAACAACAGCTGAGGAATGGAAAGGATATGTAGGATACGTAAACCAGGACATGCTAAAGGGCTTGATGCCTACGCCAAATAAGACACTGGATGCTCCTGCTCCTGCTTCCTCTTCTCCTCCCGAGAACCAAACAGATATTGGCAATGGTAATAGTAATGGCAATACAACTGGAAAATCAATTGTCCTGATCTGTGGACCTGAGAGTATGGTCAAGCATGTGGCAGGTTCCCGAGGCATTAATGGTCAGGAACCTGTCCGTGGTATTTTGGGAGCTATGGGTTATCAAAAAGATCAAGTCTTTCGCTTCCCAAACTAGGATAATAAAGCATGGATTAATATTAAAACGTGACAGAACCTTCGCTCACTTATATATGTATTCAAAAAAAACCCTTGAATGACGAAGTATTTTACAAATATGATAATTTTTATAATTCATAACTTATAATACGAGTTCATAGCTCCTCATCCCAATGCTGACAACTTCAATCTCTGGTCGATATTTCTTGATAATATTTCGAAACTTTTTCATCTCAAGATCGAGCGTGCTCCACTCGTCATAGCCATTAATGTTGAACCTTACGTTTATGGTCCTTAGTTCAGGCCATAGACTTTCATCTCGATTGCGGCGCCGATCTTTGAAATACTCAACCACATCCCTTAGCCCTCCAAGATCGGTCATATCCACATTATCAATCATATCTCTCTGTCTCTCACTTCCACGCCCTGTCCTTAGAGCTGTACCATTATCATTATCATCCTCGAGGTGAAAACCTCTAACGCTCAGCTCCGACAAGCTGACATTGTCATTGAAATTGGACGGGATGATGGAATGACGCAAAGTGGGCCACTGCCTTGTGATGATAGACTTGATCAAACCTCCCTGCTTATCTCCTTGAGACCCCTGTTCCGATTTCAATCCCGCCTGTTGGCTCGTATCATAGTAATAGCGCTCTTTGATCCAATCAATATCCTTATCGCACAGATACGCGACGCCCGTGACCTGCAATGTGCGTAAACGCTTCAAACGAGAGAGTAAACACATACTGACCGGATAACGTGATGGCGTGAGCATTTGAGTTCTATTGATGCATAAATCCTCTAGATTCGGACAGACTCGACTAATGTATCCATATAGTACACGAGCCTGCTCCTCCAAGTCACCCATCCCAAATGAACACGACTCATTAATCTTAATGTGTAACGTCTTCAGCCCTCTGCACGCCCATATACGCCGAGGGACTGGGGATATAAAGCTGTCATCGCCTTCATCATTGTTGCTACGAGGTATAATGCGCAAAAAATTGGACACATAGAGTAAATGCAAAGGGAGGTTGACGTCTGGTGCTTTAAAGTGTTCTAGATGTGGGCTTTCGCACAATAGTAGGTGTATCCAGTTGCCGGTGTTTGGGCCACGGAAAACCAAACTGTTACAGATAGATAATACGATCTCGACACTCGTCAATCGATTCTCTTTTCGATGCATATCCAAAAGTGTGCTAGCCAAGGATAATTTCCCCTTAGACATACTTAGAGTCGCTACCCCCCAGTGCTCAATTAAAGGGAACTGAGATATCGGCGCCACTTCCTCAAAACTTTTGTACCTCAGATCTACTGCAACGGAGACATGGAGGCTCCTGAGCTTCCGACAATGATCCTTCAAGTGATTAAAGAACTGCTCACGTCTTTGCTTGAAGAGTAAACAGTTCTCTGGACAGTCAGCGACCACCCTCCCTTTTATCAGAGGCTTGCAACGGATCATCCGGAGCTCTTTTAAATCAGGACAGTTCTGCGCTAGCGTCTCTAGTGCAGTTTGTAGCAAAACCATGTTGTCGAAGGTGACGGATCGTAGAGGCCATTGCTTACTGGGCCCAGCCTCGATCTCTCCTAATCTAGAGGTCATGTCTCCTGTTGAAAATAACCGAGCCATCACCTTGAGGTTCTTGAGATGAGGGCAATACTCCATGATAGGGCCAAGGTAGATGATGGTACCATCAGGGATACTGTCCAGGTGCAACGTAGTGAGTCCAAGCCCAAAAAAGCCCAAAAGCGGCTGTAATCGTCTCCAGATAACAGACTTTAGCTCAGCGTCGAGAACGAGTGTGCGGATCCTGATAGCTTCAGGAGCTGTTTCTGACAAGGAGATCATAGCATCTTTAAGGGTGGCCCAAGCTGTCTTTTCATAGTTCGCAGGCAACTGCATGATATCGGATTTTGGGAACAATCCTGCCTGGTACACAAGAGTGTAAGCTCCCCGTAAGCTGAGGGCTAACATCTGCTCAGACTCATATTTTACCTTCTTCTCTTGCGCTTGCTCATTCGGACTGCGATCGAATTGAATGGCCTTGATATGGACTGACCTCTTGAGGAGTGGTTGAGCGACGTTGTACCATCGATGACAGACCAGAGGGACAACCAAACGAAGTGTGGCCAGACCGACGTATTGCAGAATGGACTCCATCACCTCTGGGGGGAGAGTGAGTGATATGTTACGAGATGTTTGCCTATCAGACACAGGTACAATTTCTTTAGTAGCCTGCCATGAAAACATCTTGATAGTGTGATACTTTTTATTTTTATTTTATTTTTTTTTATTTTTTTGAGTAAATGAGTTGAGATGCAGACGTTAATGAGGAAAAAGTAAATTGGATGATGACAATGAAGGATTCAGGAGAACACTGAGCACAATGCTGTGTCCGTGCGGTAATGCACAATTGGATTGTATCACGCTTCTTTGTTCGCGCCCAGATCGCTTCAATTGATCTCGAGATAGTCCTATTCCGTCTCAACCACCAAAGATTTTAAACCGGTACAGTAATAGTCCTGAGTTCTAGCTCAGCGCTAAAGCCCCCTCTGTACTCAAATCAAGTAATACAACATCATCAAACCCGTCATATTCTCGACCCGATGCAACCAAAACATGAAGCTTTGTTTAATCGTGGACAATAGGGCCCACATGTGCTTCGTGGTAAAGGTGTACCTCAAAGCTGCTCAAAGGCCTTCGACTGGCGCCTTGAGGTAGCCAACCAAAAGAGAATGCTGTTGCTCAGTACATCATTGGCTTTATATATCGAGTTGGGAAGAGGTACCCTAAAGATAATATTGAAGAGAAAGAGAGTGGCTCCAAAAAGCTCTAGGCCAAGCTGGTGTTGACGCGCAGGAAATATTGGGCCGACTTAACCACTCGAAGCCCCCCCTCCCCCCCCCCCGGCGGTTCGAGGTGATGTGACATCTTAAGGAAGCTACAAAAAGAAGATCACAAGTCTATAGCGGCACACCATGAAGCCTTGGCCTTGATGGTCCTGATAATAGTAATCACAGATATATCTGACTGATCTATTACCCAAAAGCCAGTAATCGTCGAAACATTTTTACCTTTCTTGAACAATATGTCACACCCGCCTGAACTAGACCACGGAGCAATCTGTCCTTGATGCTACCGAGACAAACATTCGGGATGCATTCGGTTTGAGTGGAACCGGAAGGAAGCTTTTTGGAATAATATGGAGCTTTTGGTGAGCCAAGACGATTTCTGGTCTCCCAAGAAGCAAGCTATGAAGCCAAGGCAGTGACACCTATGGTATCCGAGCTCAAAGTGACAAGAAGCGATGTTCTGGATACAAAACGAAAAAAGGGTTACCCCAGAGCAAGACTAATGATCGCCAAAAGAAAAGTAACTAAGAGATATCGATTCATTTGAAGCAAATGTAACGAATGCAATGAGTATGAAGTAGAACATTTTATTATGAATAACTCTTGCGATAGTATATCGATCAGTATCATAGGGAAGAGAGTGTGTACATCTATCTAGAGGAGTAAGAATATCCTATCTCCCCTCCCTGCTCTTTTTTTTTTCTACATTACAACAAATGCCAGATAGTCTACTTGCTGAAATGTCTAATGTTCAAGCTGGAAGATTTATTTATTGTATCTTCAATATAGAAGCTTCCCTAATCTAACTTGCAATGATATACTTTTGCTATTTTGTGTCGCCTGTTAGAAACGGGAGAAGAAAAAATGCTTTATTGGTGACAAGAGACAGATTTCAACGTCGCAAGGAAAAGAGAAAAGGGCCTTTATCACCAAAATTGCAATAAATATCAGATAGAGGTCAGGATCTCAAAATGGCCCCTAGAGTTTTTTTGATAGGATCTCCATCTGTCAAAAAAAAAAAAAAAAAAAAAAAAAAACATCCAGTGTGGTGATACGGGTATTGATACTGACTGTGTGCTAAAGCCGCGAATCTCATTTACAGATGTGGATGAATTTTATGGAAGGAGATATTCTCGCATTCCACAGGAAAATGCGGTAATCATTTCATTCTTCCTGCTGATTTGCTCCATTATAGATAACCTCGACTTCAGGTCGGACCTTCTTGATAATGTCTCGCATATCAGGTCCAAAGCATGGGAGATGAATCGTCTCTAAATCAGGCCATAGACATTCGTTTCTGTTTGCACGTCGTTCTTTAAAGTAATTGAGGACATCCTGTGGTTGACCAAGATGCGTCATATCCACACCGTCGACCACCTCCTCCTCTATGCTCTCAATCTCGTCCTCTCTTTTTTTTTCTTCTTCCTCCCCTTTCATTACCACTCCAGTATATCCAATAGTGTCTGCACTCAAACACTTCATTGACTCCATGAAGCCCTGCTCTGCCATGCTGATGCTATCATGGATATTGACTGGAGTAACGTTAATACTTGCGGTTCCCCACAGTCTTTTAAGTGACTTGGTCATACTGAGTGACCTCTCGTTGCTGTTGTTATCATCGTTATTGAGTCCGTGTATTAACTTTTGCTTCATCTGTTCTCTTGTATCGTAGTAATAATATCGTTTCATCCAATCAATGTCTTGCTCCTCCGATCTGGTAGTATCCCTAAGATGCAAAACCTTCATAGCTCTTAGTCGAGATAATAAACATAAGCTGATAGGCGGCCGAAACCGAATGTTGTTTCTGTGGATGGACAACTCCTCTAGGTAGGGACACACACGGCTAATATATCCATATATTACTCGAGATTGTTCCTCATAGTTTCTCATTTTATATTCGTCCACTACATCGATCCGTAGGTATAATGTTTTGAGTCTTCGACATGCCCATACACGATGGCCAACAACAAATTGGTTTCTTGTGTAGTACTCGTCATCGAATATCAGCTGACGTTCTGGCTTGACAGACAAGGCCTTAGTCACATACAGGATATCCAAAGGAAAGCTAGTGTTTTGAGCCTTAAAATGTTCTAGTAAAGGACATTCACACAAGATCCAGTGCATCCAGTTTCCAATCTTCCTGTTTGCATTAATCGCACTATTGCTATTGAAGGACTTTCCTGTGATCTCAATCGTCGTGAGTCGGTTCTCTAACCTATGCCTGTCTAAAAGCACAAAAGCCGAGGCTGACGGTTTCGAAAGCATACAAAAAGTTGAGACGCCCCAATGCTCCACTCTAGGGAACTGTTGAATCGGCGCCACTTCTTCATACATGTTCCCTCTCAAGTAGCTGGACAAAGAGACATGGAGGCTTACGAACTTAGGACAGCATGACGCCAGGAGCTCAAAGAATTGGACTCTTCTCCATTCGACAAATAGAAAATTTTGGGCATTGTCTGGGATGAGCCAGTTGTCTGTGAGAGGCTGACAATTGATGATCCGGAGCTCTAGCAGATTAGGGCATGCCTGGACAAATACTTCGGTCGCAGTCTGTGATAATACCATGTTGGAAAACGTAGCAGACCTTAGTTTATGATAAAGATTAATGCCAACGCTCGGCCCGTTTATACAATTGTCGTCGTCAGCCTCTCCATGCGGCTCTTTCAGTCTAGACATATTTTCTTTTGATGGATCTGATTTAGACATAATGCAGAGCTCTTGAAGATTCGGACATTGCTCCAAAATCTCGTCAACAGGGACGACGGTCGAGTAGGGGATGTTGTACAAATGTATTTTAGAGAGCCTAGGGCGAAGAAAGCCGAGAAGTTGCACCAACCTTGACCAAACAGAAACTTCCAGGTCAGCATCCAGAATAAGTTGTTGTATTTTGAGTCCACCAGGAACCGTTTTCGATACTGCTGCTGTGAGTGCATTCTTGAGGTAGATCCAGATACAGTCCTCTTCTCCTTGAGCAAGCCTTGGTAAGTAAGGCCTTGCCAATAATCCTGCTTCGTAAACAAGTGTATACGCCGCCATCAGTTTCTGTTCCAAGTAGTCTTCCTCCTGTTGTTGTCGCTGTTGCTGTCGCCGTTGCTGTCTACGATTTAATTTTTTTCCTTGTACTGTAGTTGGCAACTTACAGCTCAAATGTATAACTGAAACTATGGCTGTCCTCTTGATAAGTGCTTGGGCAATTTGATGCCATTGACGACAGACCAAAGAAATAGTGAAGCGAAGATTGCTTTGCGAAACGTATGAAAAAATACGTTCCATGACCTCCGGAGGTAGTGATAATAATCTGCTGTTGTAATTGTGCTTCTTTCTGACCAACTTAGCTTTGGAGGGACGCCATGGCTTCATTTTCAACGGAGGAAGGGTGGGGTTTGCGAGTTTGTGGGAGGAAAGTAAGGTAGCAAAGGGGAATTATTTAAAAACGCAAACATGTCTCATATTGGGGCTGTGATGCGGCGTCTTCATCTGCAGAAGTTCAACTTTAAGCCCCCCTCATTACTTGGTGAATCTACTAGACAATTTTGATTTCAAGCTCCGCAGAAACTGTCCTTTCTTGAGGATTTATTAAAAGTAGACATTATAAATGGGTTGGCCTAATACTAGGTTTATTTATTTATTATTATTATTATTTTTTTTTTTTTTGATAACAAGGAGCTTCGGGGCCATGGGATTTATTTTCTACACTCTATGAACAAAATGCTCCAGAAACTATAGTCAATAAACAGCCATTATTGCACAAACGGCCAGAATCGCTGCATCCATGATTTCATAAACCCTGACCGCCGTGGGGTTGCCCTTTTACTAGGATGGAAATAAAGCGCCACCTTTTTTTTTTTTTTTTTTTTTTAATATCGAGGATCCACAAGGACATGTAAAAGTTATTAAGATGTTAGCTCTGTAAATAGGTTGTCCCACGTCTACTGACTGCTCGTTATCGTCCCTACTAAGAGTACTGATCAATTTTTTTTTTTTTTTTTTTTTTTTTTATAACAAGGACCCACGAGGTCACATCTGCTGTTCGTCGTTGTCTCTGGTGAGAGCCAAAGAATTCACCTCTGCTACGTCTGTGCCTCCCAACACAGTTGCGTCCCCTGGCGCGTTTGCTCACAGAGGTGATACCATTGTCTCTTTCCCAGTTGACGGTGACTTTGCAGCGTCTGTTCCAGATTTCAGTCCTGCCGAGTTCCTCGATTGACTTGACAAAGCGGCAAACAATGTACCTTGAGATCGATGCTGTGGTTCTGAAGATCGTCTTCCATTTTTGTATCAGTTCCTTCGGCACCAAACCGTGGTACAAGTCTTGGACGGTCCAGTGGGTTACTAAGAGTACTGAACAAACAGATATGACTCTTGCCTTTTTTTTTTTGACAACAAGGACCCTGAAGACAAATATGATTCTTGCCGCATCGCCCCTTAATAAACCCAAAGAGGTAATATCACGTGCTATCACGTGGATATAACAAATATAAGTAGCTGGTCACGAAAACCGTTCACGTGAACAATATGAGCCATTGTAGTATAATGGTTAGTATATCTCGTTGTGGCCGAGACGATCCTGGTTCGATTCCAGGCAATGGCAAAGGAGCTCATTCTTTTTTTTTTAATTTTTTTGCAGTATTTTCATTCGTTTCAGTGTTTCAGATGAATAACATTGTTCATGCCCTAGAGAACGACGGTTGGTGAATACAAATTATCAATGAACGCCTGACCTTTACAATTTGAGGGCATTTTAAAAAGAAGTCTGAAATTTAAATTTTTAAAAGCGCGGGGTGAAAAAAAAAAAAAAAAGAGTTCTGAGCATTCTTTTACAACACTACTGATAATACATTAAGTATTTTTTTTTTATTATCACTAGATCATTGGTACTTACTATGTACAATATGTAGACAAAAAGTTTTTTTTTTTTACGACGTGATCAAGATTGAGCAAGTCGACACAACCGTTGAGACTACCAACAAGACTGAGTACACATTCATAGCATCCATCATTCGCCTTCGAAGACTGGTCGTGGTTGTGGCTGTGGTCGTAGTGGCCGTCATTGACATCTTTGTTCTCGAATGGGTCTTTGACACAAACCCCCATGGTCTCAATCCTGGTCCTGCAGCACTAGGTAGAAAAAGACGTCGTTCAGGATATAGCCGATTACAGGCATCGATAAAGTTCCAGGTCACATCACAGTCTGTGTAATTGTTCCTGGCTCGACAACCCGCACAAGTACGCAATGGCTCGAGATTGTTCTGGACACAGAGACAGTTGTCGACGACAGGATCTCGACCAATTGTAGGGATATCGATTGGGATGTCAAAGTGATTGATATTCTGACAGAACAAGGACTTGGCAAAGAAGGGAGCGCAAGCAATCGTGCAGGCCATCTTTTTTTTTTTTTTATTTTTTTTTATTTTTTTTTCTTTCTTTATGTGAAGATTATTTCGTTATGTCGCCCTTGTAGTCCAGAGACGTAATTAATGAAGGTTGAATGATTAATTAGGGAAAGCGGTATTAGGGGTTTTTATTTTTTACTTTGACGATCAAGGAGACAGAAGAAAAAAAGAAAAGAAAGGCAGGGAGAGAAAAAAAAAAAAGAAAGAGACTTTACTGAATGCAATGCGTATTTATACACTAAAAGAAGGAGTTGGGAAGAGAAAGAAGAGAAGTAGAAGAAAATAAAGAAGAAAAAGACTGTCTCAATCTTTGTTCTTCATCCTCATACTGAATAAATTACATCTTTTTACATCTTTTTTTTTTTTTCCTTTTCTTGAGTTAAACAAAAAATATCAATGATCACGCTGTAGAAAGAAAAAATAGAATACATGTAAAAAAGACTCGACGGTCGTTGTAAAATATTTTGACGCGTGATGTTCCATGTTCCCCTATTTCGTTATTTGTTTGTTGAAGACGTAACCGCCACACTTCAGTTACTCTGGAATGCCCTTTTTTTTTTTTTATTTGTAAATACTTTACATGCACACATGCACCTCTTCCCCCTTTTACTTGATTAAATTTTAGTCTAGTGAAAAAAAAAAAGATTGTCTATTTGGACTTGGGCCATGGCTCGTGAACAAGGCACAGGCTTAGAGCGGCGTAAATTAAGGCACATTAACATTAACGTACCCAATTGGGGTTGGGCTGAAGTTGTGGATCATGTGTCCATCGTTCTTGATCCCTGATCAGTCCTTTTTTAATGGCTCCAGGAACAAAACAGCATTTGATTGCATGAATCTTATCAGTAGACAAACATTCAAACAGTCATCACGTGATATATATAAAACTAGTGTAAAATAAAATGTTGATGTTTATGAGTTTTAAGTGCATGAATCAGCTGAATAAAAAGTAAGTGTAGTTTTTTTTTTTTTTTTTTTTTTTTTTTACTTGGCAAGGCCTTCCAAGATCAACCGGACAGCCTTGTGCTCTTCGTCAGGTTTGCCCTTGATCAAGTTCTCCATTTCCTTTTGCAGAGTTATTGAGGATCTCTTCTTGGCCTCTGTCGAAATCAACAGCTTCTTGGTTTCTTCTGCTGTCTCTGGGTTCTCCAACAAGGCCAAAATAATAAATGCGCTATTACCGCCTTCAAGTACATAGAATCCGATATAGGGGGAGATCTTGGCCAACAATGCTTTAGCGAAATGTAAACTAGGCTCCGCGAGCGGTGCCTTGTAATCTGACAGGATCAAAGTCTTATAGAGACGATCTGTAGGCATGGTTAATAGTGGATTTGGCTCTTCAGATGTTGACTCTGCAGGATTTGCTGCTGCTATCTCCAAGAGCGCATTCATAGCAGGGGTCTTATCGCCCACTGCGTGTAACATAGTCTCAAGAACAACCTGACTGGACAAAGGCTCGCTTATGAGACTCCTGGCTTTGGTGGCGATCAAAGAGATCAGTGAGGGGGAAATATAGCTGAGTAATTCTGCAGAACGGACAGCCGCATCCTTTTTACTGGTATTGGCACGAATAGCATCACCTTTAGCGAGAAGCTCAATGTTCTGAGGGGAGATATACTTTGGTGATCGCCCTGCAAGCAAGTAAAGAATAACACGACGACCGAATTTATCCTTGGCAATATCTTCCATCTCCTTGATAATCTCTGCCAAAATAGCCTTGCTCATCAACACTGTGTCATCAACAACATCAAACATCCTAAGCATGACCATATGGCCGTACTCTTCCTTGCAAATCTTCACAACAAAGGGTTTCATCGTCTTCAGCATCGCTTTACGATCTTTTGGCGTGGCATACAGTAAGCAGTACATAGCAACCTGTGCACCCTCCTTTGTATGCAGCATCTCAACTGCTTGTTCCTTCATCAAATCCAACATTTCCTATATATCATGAAATGGTATAAGAATAACCAGTCAACAAAAGTCCTTTCCAATAGCGATAGTCAGAGTAGTGCGTACAAAAAAAAAAAATAAAAAATAAAAAAATTACCTGAATACCCTTGGCATCAGCATGCTCGAAATATTCAAGCAAACCACGATGTACAATACTGAGTCCGATGGTTCCCTTCTCCAAGCATCCGGTCAGAGTCTCCATGAGATGCTTCATGATGGTGTCCTTCTTTGCTGGGTTTTGTTCTAGAATCTCTGATAGTGTCTTCTTGTCTCCAGTTTTAAACAAACGATACTCAGGTCCATAAAACTCCTGGATCAATGCTGCTCTCTGAGCTGAGTTGGCATAGATTGAATAAGCATCCTCGATGATTGATGAGGCCTCCTTGTGTTTGATCAATTGACGAACCTTTCCGTAAAACTCTTTGATGATGGCTTCCCTGTATTTTTGGCAGTAGTTGAGGATCTTGATCACAATGAACCGTCCATACATGGATTTGGAGAGCGTCAAGTAGTGACCGACCAATTCTCCTGCAATGACATTACGTTGGGCTTCATTTCCATGCTTCAGACAGGATTGAATGATACGCGACATGTCGTGCTTGAAAATAAGCTCCTGAACCTTTCCTGTAATCAGTGCCATCATGTCCTTCATTACTGCCTGGCGTTCAGCCTTTGGCAATTCTTTGAGACGAAGCTTCTCCCACAGCTTCTTGGCTGGATAGATGAGCTCTGCATTAGGTTTGTGCGATCGACGCTCATCACGGAGTGCCTTCTTTTGAGCATTTGATTCTTTGCTGGCTAGAAGGGTGGAATTAATAAGAAGAAGTTTGTGTGGTCCGTTTTTATAACGATATCAATGGTGTTGGTTATTGAAGAAGAAAAAAAAAAGTGGTGAAATGATTCCATTAATCGAATTCAAGGATAGAATGCCAATCGGAATGGATATATACATATATCAATATAAAAAAAGTTTCTTTTTAGTCAGTCTTTAGCTCCATAAACTTATTAAATTAATGACACATTTGGCTTTTCAGTATTTATCAAGACACATACACAACTTATTCTTCTGGGCAGCTGTTTGGTCAGGCACATCAGCGTCCATACTGTGCTCCTCATCATCGTCACGAATAGGCTCTGCTTCCAGCTCACCCTCATCCTCATCTTCATCATAGTCATCGCCATCGTTGTCTTTTAGATCTTCATCAAGGGCTTTACCAAAGATGGTCTTCTTTGGTGCTGCAGCCTTCGCTTCCTTAGTCGTCTTGACCTTTTTCTGAGGCTTCTCAGCAGTAAAACCGGTTTTGCGCTTAGCAACAGCCATCGGTATATATATTAATAGAAATAAAGTAAGAGAAATGGAAGAGAAAAAAAAAAGGAGGAAGAGGAAAGAATGAGCAGTTGGATGAGAATTTGTAGGTGAGTTGATGTATACAAGGTCATTGGGCGGCTCCAAAAGAAAAAAAAAAAAAAAAGTGGCGCATGTCGAATCTTTGTTGATGTTTTTGAAGCCGTCACAAAAATGGTTTGCCACTAAAAATTCGTGATCAATTTATTATCGATACAAGCTCTATCTAGTGTCTCATTTTGTAGCAAAAATTTTTTTTAAAGCATTTCCAAGGTTTTAAAGACCAAGAGCTATTGCTATAGCGACAGAGACAAATGTCAAGGCAACGTTTGAAGATGAACTAGAATATGATGGGGCATTATTGGTATTGTCCCCAACATCGCCAAGGTCGCGGTTAGGGTCATTCACCCGACAGTCAGAAATGAACTTCTTTTTAAGGTTGCCAGCGTTGTTCAAATCCTTGCAGGCCAAGCATCGAGCTAATAGGATCAATATATATTATTATTAAAGTACTCTTATAAACCAAGAGAAAATAATAGTAGTAACGATAAAAATCAAAACAAAAATAAGTCTTACTGTAGAGCTGGAGGTTATCTTCTGTACAAAGACAATCATCGAGTCGAGGATCAATGCCGATTGCAGGCATATTATCCTGTAAACCGTCCCTGACATTGCCGCAGAAGACAATCCTTGCATTAATAGGCGCGCAATCGACAGTACAGTCAGCAGCTTCGGTCATTAAGGGAATGGTTACAAGCAAGGCTATAGCAACCAGGACAGTTGTGTAGATAGTAGCGGACGCACGAGTGAAAAGCATGTTTTTCCTTGCTGGTACTTTATATAATGGATGGATGGTGTGAGTAGAGAGTGCCTGAGTCAAGAAAAAAGAAGTCTTTTTTATACGGGTAGGGGGGTTTTTTTTCTTGCTTGAGATAGCCAGCACCGGGACAAATTAATGGGCAAAAGTAAATTTGTTGATCGCAATCTCGCTGATGATGAAGGAAACAGGAAAAAGGGAGGGCAGAAAGGGACTTTGATATTCATTTTTTTTTTTTGTCATCATACTCACATGAACATGGTCTTGAACAAATCGAATCAGAGTGATTTACAGCCTTGAGGTCAAACATTTCCTAGACTATAGAAATGTTATAAATTGCTAGAACATCAGTAAACATGTCTTTCCTCGATCCCTGAATCCACTGTCTTATTCCCTCGAATAGAAAACATTTTCTTCTCGAATGATTACGCCTCCTCCTATATTTTCTCATGTGAAAAAGGAAGAAGCGAAAAATTAGATGTAACGCCTCAAGTTGAGGCTGAGCAAGAAGACGGTGTGCAAACAGTTTTTATGGCTGAGCATCTTAATCCACTGCGCTTATATAATATTCCCACGATTGTATTTTTTTTCCTTTAGCTTGCCGCATCCACTCTCTTTCTTTGTCTCGCCTGAATCTTGTGACGATTTTTGGTGCTCAATAGTGAATGTGAAATCCAAAAGAAGCCCTGAAAGCAAACCCTGAGGAAGCTTTGAAAGATGATGCACATAAACATTTTGGAACATTATCTACATCCATTAATCTCAGACTTCAACTGGTGTGGTAATGGTCATACACGATTTTTTTTATTTTTATTTTTTATTTCCACAAACATTTCAGTAAACAAAATCCACAAATCCTGAAATCAGAATAAGTCGTGGCAATATAGCCACTTGAGGAAGAAATCACCGAGGAAAATCATGGGTTTGCCATCTGACTTATCCTCTGAAGGCGCAGCGATCTTTGTCAAAAGTATTTATACACTCTGCAAGTCGTCTTGAAAGCCTTCACTATCCTATTAAAAAAAAAAAATGAATGATTTAAATCCACTTATCATTGATCCTATCACTTCGCGAAATAATGGCACTGGGGTCGTCATCGATAACGAAACAGCCAAGATGATTAAAGATGTACGCCTTTTATTGCAAAATCAACCCGGCAAAATCCGTTTGTTTTCAGATGGTTCATTGATCCATCCCCACACAAAATATGCAAGTATGGGGTTTGCTTGCGTATATTTAATGGCAAATAATTTATACAAGCTCGGTGTTCTTGGGACTATTGAGGGACACGTTAGCTCAACCACAGCCGAAGCTGCTGGGCTACTCTCAGCTATTTGTTCGTGTCCTCGTGGTCGTAAAGCAACTATATTCTGCGATTGCAAGCCCGTGGTTGACCAATTTGCAGTCATAGCGAAGTCTACTGAAAAGATTCCAACGCGGTGGCGGTGTGCCGACTTGTGGCACATGATATATGAAGCCTACGAGAAACAAGGCCGCCGAATAACCGTCCAATGGACACCAAGTCATAGTGGAAAGGATGGAAACACCATAGCTGACCAATGGGCAAATAAAGCTCACTCCTCAGGCTTGGCATCGTGGAGAATAAAAAAGGCCACTGGCGCTACCAAGTAGATGAGCGAGTCCATACTCTCTGTAAAATGGCAAAAAAATAAAACCATATTATTGTTTTTATGGCACAAAAGCACGAGCCATATATCTTTACCTTACAGGGTTCTAGGACACAATCATTCTGTATATACTGTATATACATAAAGCTTCTCTTAACTAGGCTATCCCTGACCGCGGCTTCTGCAGCAGGTTTCAAGGATTTACAGATATTATGCGTGGAGTCTAAGCAAGCTATCAATCTTGCTCAGTGATCATGATTGCTCGCTTTTTTTATTTTGATTTGACTAAATCAACTCTAGACACATGGCAAAAATGCTGCTTGTGGTTGATATCAGCAAGAATCTGTGATCACTATTTTGTATATTTATATTTGGATATTTCCTGCTGAAGTCTTTATCCCTTGTCTCTTTTTTTTTTTTTTTTTTTTTTTTTTTTTCTTTCTTTAATCATCATCCATTCATTATACTTGTCTGTCCTTAGGAATGGGTGTCCTAGGCCTATGGCCCCTTCTCCAAGAGAAGGGATATGTGGCAGGTTTCTGACCTCAATGCCCCAACAGCACTAATAGTTTCAACTTTTTACAAACTGATTCCCAATCAAAATATCACGTTGACGCCCTTGCTTTTTATTCAACCATCCGTTCCGCTTACACGACTCATGTCCAAGATCATGCTCATGTTATCGTTGAGCAAGCGTTGCTGCGGCGTAGGCTTCCACAAAGTGCGACTCTGTATCTGGATGGACCGTCTCCCAAAGAAAGAAGGCTGATGCATGAATGTCGTGAGGAGGCCCATTCAAAAGCCGCGCACCATGTTCAAATCCTCCTGGACGCCTTGCAAGAACGGGCTGACAAAAAGCTCATGCAGGCCAAGCGAAAGTTGGGTCTGAACTACTTGTCTGGCAAATTCCAAAAACATGCTCTGATATTAAGTAGTCATCATCTTTAACAAACGACAAGACCTGCATTATCCATATTGTAATGGGAAGAAGCCATGGCCCATGCCTGTAACCCATGCAACAACAGCAAACGTGAGAGAAGACTATGTCCGCGAAACACAATAAATTTCGGGGGAGTTTTTTTCTTTTTTTTTCTTAATGAGTTAGTCAAACTCTCCTGCAATCATCCATTTTTGGCCTCGGCGAGATCATTTTTTATACATCTCGGCAATGCTCTTCAGTCCGCCTATGGCGCTCTTCAGTTCGTCTGCGGTGTGGATCACAGTTGGATATGGCAAAGCATAATGGACAAAAAAAAAAAAAAACAAAAAAAAAAACAGATATCAGAAAGTTTGTTGTCTATTGTTATTAGTTGAATTGAATTGATGTCAATTAACTTACAGAGTTTCTCTTCTACAGATCTTAGACGAGATGCTATGGTGTCATCACCATCACTACCATACTCGTCGGGAGCTTCAGAACGCGATGGTGGGGCCACGCGGAACATCCTGTCTAATCCATCTAATATACGAGTGGTACACTCCAGAGGTTCACCAGCCGAAGAGATGGGCCAAAGTGAATTTGCCAGGGTTGTTCTGTGAACTGTAGCTCTTCTTCTGAGGTGTGATTTGGCGAGATAGGTTCCGCGATGGGATCTGACGGGGGGAGGAGAGCGAGAGGAGGGTTCTGTGGACATGATGACTGGGGTTGGGTCGAGATGTGTGTAGGACCTGCCGGACTTGATAGGCAGTATTACAAACGTTGCGTTTTTTGGACTTTTTTTTTTTTTTTTTTTTTTTTTTTTTTTTTTCGCCCGAAATAAATCTGAAAGCCTCGCCTTGCACTTATCGCATCCGTGGACATGTCGAGGAAACGTTGAGCTCCAGTTCCATTACATGCTTCCCGGGCGGCTTGAACTTGCTAGTTTTTGTTGGTGTGGCAGTCTAGGTGATGGGCAGCTTGTTGAGAACAAATGGTTTGATGTAAACGGCAGCACTTGCAGGGGAAGCAAAGCTCTCTGTAGCATCATAAGGAGGAAGCGTGGTATTCTTGTTTTTTTTTGTTATCGCTTTATCCTTATTTCTTTACACCGGTTTACTTGGTCAATTTTTTTGTCCAGGTCACTTACATTTTACACGGATCTACTTCGTTCGTATTTTTGTCCAGTCTACTGCGTCGATTTATCTTCACACAGGTCTACTTCGTTGGCATTTTATAACAACTGACATTTATATCTTACACGAGTCTACTTCGTCTGTTTTTTTTGTCATATCTTTATGTGGACCTACTTCGTCGGCTTTTTTTGTCTAGTGACATTCTCAAATGAATCCCGTAGCAGCATCCTTGTGTCCCTGAATCAAGGGCGATACCCAGAGGAGGCCTTTTCAGACCGAATTGTATTGAGCGAATGCTATTTTTTTTTTAGGTTGACCAATAGAAAAAGATGTAAACAAATGAAAATGCAATACGGTATTCGATGGCACAATACGCAAAGATGAGAATTGTGCCATCGAATGCTAGTCTGGCTTAAGGGTTGGCGTGAGATCCAAAAAAAATAGAATTCGATCCAAAAAAAATAGCATTCGATCCAAAAAAAATTAGCATTCGATGGCACAATTCTCATCTTTTGCGTATTGTGCCATCGAATACCGTATTGCATTTTCTTTTGTTTACATCTTTTTCTATTGGGCAACCTAAAAAAAAAATAGCATTCGCTCTCAACTTCCCAACCAATAGAAATTAGCATTCGCTCAATACAATTCGGTCTTGAAAAGGCCTCAGAGAGTATAAATAGTCCACTACGTTATAGCTAAATAAAGTATCCTTTGACCTTCGATTCCACCTAAGATCGCCTTTGATTGTTACTATTTACAATAACCGAGCAATGTGGGGTTACGATCCACATTCAACTCCCATTTATCTTTAAACTTCCGGTTATTATTTTCTATTTTTTAAGTGAAGTCCCTTCGTCACACAAAACAAAAAACATGTTTCCCTCCAACACAAACAATATTGCTTCTGGTCAATCCGACCGCATGGTACCCCCTAGGAACGATGAACAAAAGGGCGACTATGTTCTGACCGATCTCGAGCAAGACATGGATATTGACGACTTATTTGGAGAGGAGCAGGTCATCCCCAGCGTTCCTCTCAGCGATGAAGGACTGCTCCTGCAACTCCTCGCTGAACACAAGGTTCTGGTGCTAAGAAAGAGAGCCATTGCCAGCTACACCTTATCCATTCCAGACTACGAATCAGACTTGACGACGAACCTGTTCAACCCCCTGACGACATAACTGCAGAAAAGCTAATTCAATATTTAACAGCGGCTCAGGAACATGATGCCAATCCTTCATTCTCAGCCTCTGCAGTATACCATGCTCCATCATCATACAATCTTCCTCATATCTCTCCTGCACCTGGCATGAACAACATGCAGTCGGTCTGGTCGAGAGAAGGCGTCAAGTCCAAATTTCTATTCGAACCAAAGCCAAACGCTCCGCCGACCCTTTGGCCCCCAGCAATAACAAGCAAGTCCTGGAAAAAACTCAGACTGAACTTGACGCCGTCTCGTATAAGATTTCATTACTGCAAGATACCGAGAAGGAAGTGTTGGCACTCGATGCAACTCCGAAAAAGAACGGAGGCCTTCCAGCAATTCGCTATAAGAGTCTCCAAAGAGGTAAGGGTTTATGCATTAAGGATGGTAATGGGATGGTGCTTGGTTTACTCACATCCGCTATAGACTCGGAGACACATAATGTCATGGTCACACCTCAGGGGAAGGATGGTGAAGAAGTTCATCTCCATCAGAGACTTCGTTAAGATTCTTAGCGATCTTAGCGGTCCCACTTCTGCTCTCCGAGCACAAAAGGAGCAAAAGTCTCCACAGGACTCTACCGCTGTAGGGCCTCTTAGAAACAAGAATAATCACAATAACCGATTTTCTGCTTATAAAAAATCATCGATCAAAGAATCGACGCGGCCTGCTCCTGGCTCTTACCAGTGCAGTCGCTGTGGGGTGAACAACACCCATAATACGAACGATCGTAAATATTGCAATCATTGTAAAAAACCGGGTCATACATTTAATGAGTGCCGCAACCGGCAGAGGTTGAATGGCAACGGAAAAAATGATAATGAAAAGCTCGCTCATCATAAGAACGCAAACTTCTCTGCTGAAGGTGCGTACATTAAACAATCTGCAAAAATGATGTCTGACAAAAACACAGCATCCTCTAACATATGCATCTCTTCTGCTATCACACAGGCAAAAATAAGCCTTTCAGAAAATAAGCAAACGGAGACATATACGGACGATCCTACAGACAAAACGATAAAGGGCACCGTGGCGCATAAAGCCTCACACAAGCGAACAGCTGGTGAATATGAGGACAAGCCATCTACCATGCTAGAAACTGCACGAAAAAAGATCAATGACATTGATAATAAAAAAGAAATTTTCGATAAACAAGCTTTTATTTCTTCTCGAAACCCTTATCATAAAGCAATGCAAAATCCTGAAGGAAATTATGAAACAATAGACTGGGAATCAATGATAAAAAATGATCTGGCGCTTCACTCGCAAGCAGTTAAGCATCCTTGCCCCGAAATCATCAAAACCTCGTCATTGTCGAAAAAAGATGATAATCCCCACAAAGCTCCATCAGCCTCTACACTGCAGCAAGCGGATAAGAGGATTGTTGTGCATGTCGTTGTCAACAGCGAGCGGATGGAAGCTCTTCTTGACATGGGCGCGACTGATTCATCTATCAGAAAAGATATCGTCGCCAATCTTGGCATCCATACCACTCCTATCGATGGCATGGTACAAGGATTGTCTCAGCTCCTTTAGAAGTCATTGACAGCACTTACCCCATCATTATCGGGATAGATCTATTTCATCAGCTTGGCTTCTCCATCTCTGGTTATACTAATCCTGGGGATGATGCCATGCAGCTTCCCGAACCCGACGAGGATGAAAAACCATCCTTGATCCCTGATCAAATCCCTGATGAGGAAAAGACAAAAGCTTTTATAAAAAAGAAGACAATATTTCTATCAAAAACTAAGAAAAGCCTTGAAATAAACAAAAATACTCCCAAGCATAGTCACTGTCTTGTGCCAGAAATGAAGGTGTCTCTACCCGTGTCCAGCTTTACTTTCTGTATTTTATTTTATTTTATTTTATTTTTTATTTGCGCGCCCTCCGATGGATACCTTTCCTACTAGCAGCTCTCGATGAGACCAGAGCTTCCTTCAGTCCTGCAAGGGCCTTGGTATACGCAGGCACCAACTCCTTCGTCTCCTGGTCCTTGATCTTCATCCTATGGATCTTCTCCCAATGACCAGCCTTCGATACCATCTCCTTAAAGTGTCTGGCCTCTTGCATCTCCACTAGTGAATACGCTGTTCCAGTCTTACCCGCACGCGCTGTTCTACCCACACGATGAATGTACTTTTTCATATACACAGGTACATCATAGTTGATCACCACCGAAACCGGCGACAGATCCATACCACGAGAGATCAGATCTGAACAAATCAACAAATGGATTTCACCCTTGTTGAATGCTCGTAATATAGACTGACGCTTGGATTTTGGTAGGTCGGAGGAATATTCCGCAACAACAATAGGGGGTGCTGACATCGTCGCCGTCGCCGTCGTCGTCGTTGTTGATATTGAGGGATCAACCTCTATTTCCGAAGAAGAGTCGAATGGATCTGTAGATTTGGTAGTCGTCTCAACATCCTCCATCTCAACATCACTCTTTTCGCTCCCGTCTTCTTCTTCTTCTTCTTCATCGTCATCATCGCTGCTCTCATTTTCATCTTCGCTATCACTGTCTTCACTACTACTGCTACTGCTGTCATCATCATCATCGTTATTTCCATCATCTGGTTCACTATCCCCTTGACTTTCATCCCCTTTACTCCGTTCTTTGATTTCACTATCCACTTTGTTGTCTTTTGGTATTGTTGACAATGATGATGACGATACAGGTGCAGTTCTCGTTTTCTCATATAGCTGAATAAGCTTGCATAACCGATGTGCTGATTCAACGGATTTAGTAAAACACAATGCAGAACGAACATTGCGGTTATACAACAGATGAAGCACCATCAATGGTTTCTCTGATGATTCACAGACAATCATATATTCCTAACAAACAGAATTAACCACATTACAAAAAAAGGGATTAATAAACGTTAATAAATGAGTAATCATATCATATTATGTCAATTCAAAATTCATGTTTTCCGTAAGCATACCGTGAGTCCAGCAGGTGTGGTATACTTTTGCTTCTCGTCTCCATCCAGGCCTCCTTCCTGCACCGCTACATATTGAGGATCTGATAACTGTAAGCTAGCAATCTTGGCTGGGTTCCTAGTCAATGTAGCGGAGAAGAGCAGTTTTTGAACTGATAGTGCCTTGGGGTCCTCTACATCTGACTCGGGTAGGCGGAAAAATGATGGCAAAAACGCTGGTGCAATGGCATCATGGATTGGGAAGCTATCATAACACACGATGTATAGTGTTTAAAAAAAAATGAAAAAAATGAAATTAAATAAAATAAAAACCTGTTAGAACGAGCAGTGGTCTTTTTAAAATCTTTTCGAAATCTTGTGCACATTCGCTTGTTTTTTTCCTCTCTTTCTTCACTTTACCCATACTGGTCCCGTTTCAATTGAATATTTTCAGATCCATCTATGCCCAGCAATTTTCGTTCGGGTGAAGGATGAATAGCTGTCAAGATATGATACAACCAATCTTGGAAACTCTGGTTCAACAACCGATCTGCTTCATCAATCACCAAGAATCTCAAATGTTGCAACGTAAAATTAGGTGTTGATTTGATATGATCAATCAGCCGTCCTGGAGTCGTGATTAGAATATCCACTCGACTATGTCCTCCAAGTACTTTGGGTCCATTAGGGCGTGCATAGGTTTCTCCTACAAGGATGTTCTGCTCATGTGCAAATGAGTTTTGCCCTGTTGATGTGGCAATCTTCAAATCTGTTCCCTTCACAAACGTTTCAAACGTTTCTTTCACTTGGACACAAAGATCTCGTGTTGGAAGTACAACAAGTGCACGAAGGCGAGTGACCACACGCTGGGACAAAATCTGAAGGACAGGTAATAATAAAGTAGAAAAAGTAAAGCTGAGAATGAGATATAACAATTTGATCCATGTGATGCACACTATCACTCCAAAGGGAAATAGATCAATAATCCTTTTCTCTCCCCCCTCCCTCTCCTTCCTCTGTTTCTCTCACTCACCTCAATGATCGGAAGAACGTAAGCCAGTGTCTTTCCACTTCCTGTCGGTGCAGACACACATAAATCTCCTGGCGCCTTACGAATATCTCCCAAATGCCTAGCCCTCATCAACACCGGAATCACTGCTGTCTGGACTGCAAAACACTCTGTAATCCCGGCTTTTTTGCATTGCTTGATCAGCCTTGAGGAGAGTCTAAACATGGGTGCATCAATCGGTGTGTTCGTCTCTGGTTCAATCTTGATCGGATGGGCTAACCAGTCTGGGATACCCATAGATTTGGCTCGCTCCTTTTCTTCAGCTGTAATCTCTTTTACTTCAAAAGTTGGAAGTGGTACCAATGCAGATTCAATATCTGCTAAAGCTGCATCCATAGCGACATCATCCATTCCTCCTTCTGCTTCCTGCTTTTGTCCTTCAGAAGTAATATCCTTGTCCTCTTCTTCTTTTTTCTCCATTTCTTCATCTTCTTTATTATCTTGTTGTTGTTGTTGTTGTGTTGATTTAAGTGAAGGTGCAGAAGCAGCTGTAGGTTCAGGCACACTATTAATGGGTTGAAGAATCCCTCTTGCCAATGCCTCTGCTGCCTCTGCTTCTGCCTTCATTGCTAACCGAACATCATTCGGGACCAAATCACTGTCCTTCAATTCTTTCTCTCTCTTCTCCCACTTTTTACCATGCTTCTTTAAATGATGCTGATCTTCCTGTTCACGAGCACGCTTTTGTTTATAGGGATTGGTTTCTATTGAGTCATTGTTGTCGTATCTCAAATGTTTTGAAGACGACTGCTGTTGTTGCTGTTGCTGTTGCTGTTGTTGCGTCTTGTCTTTGTTTTTGTTTTCCTCCTTCTCTTGTAGCTCTTTATGAGGCTTATTCTTATTCAAACGAGCATTGAGCTTTATGAGACGCTCCTGCGCTGACAACGTGGCATTGGAAGAAGTGTTTTTATCAGAAGATTGCTCCTCGACATCGTAACGTTTGATGTTGAACATGGCAATGTAACTTTAGTCTCTTCTCTGCTCTGTCTCCATGCAAAGAGAATTTTAAAAAAAATAAAAAATGTTTACATCTATTAAATTATGTGGCTTTTACTAAATTTTGATCGCCATCCAAAAAATTGGTGGCGGTGTCCTGAATTAAGGATAAGGTTGAGAGTAACCGTGGTTCATCATGATATTACGAAAAAAAAAAAAAAAAAAAAAAAAGCTTCCCCATAAACATCAGGTAATTATCATTATATTTCGAGGATGGGAAGGAAAGAAAAAAAAAAAGAGAGACATGAGTATAATAATGGTACGAGAGGAGATGAAAGTGTGAAAGGAAAAGGTGGATGAAAAATACGTGCTAATAGCGATAGTAATAGTAATAATAATAATAATAGTAAAAACAAACAAGTCTGTCAACTTTATGCTCCACCTCCACTACGATCAGTGGTCTTGGCCTTGATACCATAATCAATTGCTCTCTTATGTTCAACCTCAACAATAATATTGGAGAAGGCTGTTCGGCTAGCATGTTCCTTCAATCCACCCATCACTTCCAGGAATTCGTTGAACTCGATCGATCCAGAGTTATCTAAATCAACCTATTTTTTTTTTTTTTTTTTTTGGGATTTCAAATGCGTAGGAGGAAAAATAATAATAATAATAAACAAATGAGTTCAAGGATCTTAAAGCATAAAGACGATTTTGATCAACTGTGTCAATTTGTCATATCATACCTCACTGATGATGTTATTCAACACTTGTGCATCAACATCCATGTCCAGGTTTCTCAGGATTACGCCGAGATCTTTGCCATCAATGTGGCCATCGCCATCATAATCCAAAGCTCCAAAGACCTTGTGGAATTCTGCCAATTCTTCTGGGTTGAACTGAGCACGTGAGTAGAAGCTATCGGTGACGGACGATCCTGAGGACTTGCCTCCGCCCCAGAAGCCCTTGGCCTCACGCTTCTCGACATTGCCGATTGCGCCTGGGTGACCAATGACAGCATCAGGTACATTGGTAGGATATGCAATGGGACTAACAGGAAGACCCATGGTGGTCAAGAACTTCTTGGCTTCCTCCGTCTCTTTCAATTGACGGGCTTGGTCCCATTTCAGCTCATCAGCCATAATCTCAACAACCCTGGGGAGAGCCTCCAAAGCTGCGTGCACGTTCAAGAAGGCGAGGCGCAGACGGCGAGCCAGGACATCAACAGCTGTGCAAGCATATTCGCGACGGACTGCATAGCGAATCTCGGCCTCGATATAAGGATACTGCGGCGAGACCCTTCTTCCAAAGACGGGCCAGCGCTTCCCAGTAGACTGTGCGAGCGAGGCAACTGCCCAGGCACGGTCACCATAGCTGTTTGCAAGGTGTTGAGCAATCTCTGTCTCCAAACCAAACTGTTGGATCAGACGGATAAACATTGTCTTGCTGTATCCGTGGGAACCGATCAACTTGACGCGCTCGGTCGAGCACTCTCGTGTAGGCTTCAAATTAAAGTGTTTGATGGCCTCGTCGATGGTCTCGGCAGCCATTGCGCGGTAAGTTGTCCACTTGCCGCCTGCAATGGTCAGCAGACCGCTCTTGCTGATGTTGATCATATGGTTGCGAACTAGACCCTCAGTACTCTTGGCAGCGGGGTCACGGACCAATGGACGGATGCCAGACCAGGCAGCCAAAACATCTCCTCGACGGACCTTGACATCTGGGTTCAGGTAGTTCTTGACTTCTCCCAAAATCCAGTTGATCTCTTCCTCTGTCGCCATTGGGTTTTGGGTCACCTTTGTTGCAGAGTCTGTCGTGCCTGCAATAGTATTTCCTTGCCAAGGCAAGAAGAAAATGACACGCCCATCACTAGTGGCAGGGTCCAAAAGACCCATAGTTCCAGGACTGTAGTAGTTGGGAAGAATGATATGAACTCCTGCAGAAGGCGAGACGATAGTTTGAATCGAAGGATCATCCATCTGACGAATGCCATCAGTGAAGGGTCCGGTGGCGTTGATGATGCCCTTCGCCTTGACATTGAATTCCTTGCCGGTCATAGTATCCCTGACACGGGCTCCACACAATTGCTTGTTGGAATCCTTATGAAGCTCAATGACTTCAACGTGATTTGCAATGACAGCACCATATTGAACAGCGGTCAATCCAAGGGCGACGTTCATACGGGAATCATTGTGCTGACCATCGTAATAGACCATGGCTCCGACCAACTTTTCATTCTTGAGCATTGGGAATGCCTCCAGGGCCTTGCCTCTGCTTAAGAAATAACTGCTTTCCATGCCTTGGTGACCTGCAAGCAAATCATATGCCTTGGATCCAGCCCAGTAGTAAGGTACCTGCCACCATCTAATACAATAGCAAAACGTATTCTTGAGTAAGATCTCGGATGCTGATAGCCTGCATGTAAATGTATATATATATGCATGTCATGTATAGTAGTTTCGATTGACGTACTTGTAGATGGGTAACATGATAGGCAATTGATAGCTCAGATAAGGTGCAATCTTCAAAAAGTTGGCACGCTCATTCAATGCTTCCTTGACAAGCTTATACTGCTCATAATCCAACTCACGAACAGCCTTTTCTAAATAACGGACACCACCATGAACGAGCTTGGTTGATCTGGATGACGTTCCTGTAATTGAAAAAAAAAAAAAAAAAAAAAAAAAAAAAAAAACATGTGAGACTAGGGGTTCATACTAAATCTTCATTCTATAATTTATCATTGCACACTAAAAAAAAAAAAAAAAAAAAAAAAAAAAAAGAAGAAGGATGTTTCGACCCCTGTATTGCACGTGTGGCTCGGGTATAGAGATGAATGGTTAGGGATATCAAGGAAGAATGTGTTGGCCCTATTCATCCCATGTTTACACTTCCCATTGATAAAGCCCTGTTTTCATCTGCTCTATCTTGTAAAAGGCATTGTTGTTGTTCTTCATAGATCTATCTTTCACGAGCTCTCTTGCTCTCCACATCATACATGCTCTATCTTTCTCTCTCGCTCTTTTTGTTTTGTTCACCTCACTTCCTATAGATCCAATGACTCAAAAAAAAGAAGATCAAAGTTGCTCCACAAACCCGAAATAAATGAGAGAGCATAGTCGAGCAATTGTATAGCGAATAAGAAATAAAATAAAAAATAGATTCTTTGTGTGTACTACAGCATAGGTGGGGACGCTCATTGGATGATGTGCCCAATTTTAGCGGCCCGTCCTTGCCCTGGTCTGGGAGTTGTCCTCCGTCACTCTCATTCTTACTCAGATCTGTTATTCTTTTTGTACTTTTTTAATCGTCCGGTCCGGTCTTTTAATCCATTGCCCACACAGACCGTTAGCTGTCTCTAAATCATTCGCTGTCACACACTCTACAGCATGAAGAGTACTCAAAGAGTCAAAGAGTATCTCGTAAAAAATGATAAATCATGGCAGAGGGCAAAATCTTGTCTCTGACTTTCAATCCCTTCATATGACACAAAAATAAAATATGATGTCGATGGAAAAAGAAGCCATACTGTCCCACCAGATGTTGCACAGATGTAAAAAAAAGTAAAAAAAAGTTGATCATACCTGAAGAAAAATCGTCGCGTTCAACCATGGCTACCTTCAACCCACGAGTTGCTGCATCCACAGCACATCCAGCACCAGTGGCACCGCCTCCAATGATAAGCAGATCAAACACGTCCGAGTCCGATTCAGCTGCAGTAGGCGACGCGTCCGTTTTTGTTGCGACAGATGTTGATGTTGATGACTGCGATGATGGTGATGATGACGATGATGCTGCTATAGCTTTATTCTTAGCAGCCATGATATCCTTAATGGCACCAGGGCCTTCCTGAAGCATCCTGATCATTTCCTCGCGTGAAGGAGGGGCCCAGAAGGCATGAGGTCGAGTAGGGTCTCTGGTGCTCTGTTGGGACTCAAGATAGACCATGGAGGAATGAGGCGGATATTCAAAGTCGTCATCAAAAGATCTCCTGTTGCGCTTCAAGTCATAGTAATAGCTAGCAAGGGCCAAGGAGGTGGCACCTGCAGTGGCATAGACGGCCTTTCTACGGAAAGAAGAGTTGGTGGCATGTCTAGCACCGGTCGCGGGGATTCGGCGCCACATGAGGGAAATGAATTAGATCTGTTTTAAGAAATGAGTTTTGAGCAAGAAAGAGAATGGAGTTGGAATGCTAAAAATAAAAAGAAGAAGAAGAGAGGAGAAGAGAATGACAAGGAAGGATAGGAAGAAGAAGAAGAAGAAGTGAGACGAAGGGGAAAGGAGCAGGTGTAATAAATTGCTTATATACTCACACTAACTAGTTTACTTACAATCAATGTGATGTGTTCTGTCATTCCAAGATAGCGGCGGAGTGCCTTGACGGACCATTTCCCCCCCTATTGTCCCTATCTCTCTCGCTCTGGGCCTGTTGATCTACTTCGTAAGTATCCGCATGTATGCTACCGTGTTGCCATGCGACCATGCATGCAAATCACGACAAAGGATGTCCAAGCATGGTATAGCATAGTATGGTATGCTATGGCCTGGGTCACCCTAGGATCTTTTTGCAACCTGATCCATGGCATGGGGAAGCTGTGTTCATCACTTTGTTATTTTCCCATTGCTATAGCTAAAGAAGGTAAAAAAAAAAAAAATGCATACAACTCCATTTGTAAGTGTGTTTGATTCAAGTTCAGATAGAACATTTGTCGTCATTTCATCAGCATTTGGACTACGCGAAGCAATACTTGATCTCCCTTTCCCGTTTATCTGCCTTTTAATGTCCTATTTTTCCTATTGTTTTTCCATGTGAAATCGAAATCAAATCAGCGGTGACTCCGCCCAAACTCTGAATTGGTCCCGCCCTTTTCATCTGTCATCCTTTTGTAACTTTTCCTTCACCCGCTCTCATTTTTAGCCATGTCATGTAGAGGAGCAATCAAACGTTCCACGGACATCCCCTCCATCCAACAGTTATGTTTATTTAACTTGTACAACGTAGGCAGCCATCTTTTTTTTTTTTTTTTTTTTTTTTTTTTTTTTTAATGTATTATTTATAAATTACAGGTGTAAATATGATAAGAGTAAAAGAAAAAATAACGTCCATAGCCATGACCACAACCACAGCCACAGCCACAGCCACAGCCACCATCAACAACCTTCAAAAGTTCTAAACCGTTTCTATGCTTTGCATTCGCTCCACATCACTGGCAACAATACCACACAGGCAGTCCACATCACACTAAATGCTCTAAAGAACGTAGCTGGAACCTCTGCCCAGGTGGCTTTGTGGAACATCAGCCAGATCGAGTGAAGTGCTACGGCATAAAAGTGATATACCAATACCATACGACGACGTGTGATACCCGACAACAACCCAACTGGGCCTGCAATGCATTCGCCTCCCATCTTGAAGTAACTGAAGCATCCATCACGAAGAACAATCAGGTTCTCATCTGATCAAATTATGAAGAAAAAAAAAAAAAAAAAAAAAAAAAAAAATAGAGTTAGATCAGGATACATAAGAAGTTAATTCACTTTTTTTTTTTTTTTTTTTTTTTTGCAAGATCTTTCTTACCTGCACCAGAAAAGAGTGCATACAAGGCCTGAGCGAGGACGTTGATCACACCACTGAGCTCTTTCCTCTTCCAGAAAAATAATTCCATTTGGACCATGGTCTCTTCTTGATCCTTTGTCACATCTCCCCTGAGCATATCTCTTAAATACACCACATCATTCAACGCCACAGTCATACCACCTCCCGTAAGCGGATGACGCATGTTCATAGCATCTCCCAAAAGAATGACTCCCAACTCTGAGCTAGTCGATGGTGGTAAGAAACTGTTTGGCATCGATCTCAATCGTTCGGTCTCTAATGCTGTCATGAATGCTTTCTGTACACTTTCGGGAAGTTGTGGCCTGACTACCGTCTCGAGGTATGAGCGTAATGCGCCCGAGCTAGCAGAGGGTAGCTTCCCAGGAATGTCCACCAAGATGCGGGTGTCCCTGGCTGAGATCTGATACATAAGGATAGGTGAAGGGGACGCAAGAAGAACATGGCCATGGTTTGGGAATGGAAGTTGGACATCCTTCATAACAAAGCTGCAAGTTAAAATAATAATAAAAATTAAAAAGGTCAGTTTTAAGCATCCTTCCCATGATTGCTTAACTATTTTTTTTTTTTTTTTTTTTTTTTGTTGTTGTTGCTTTGCTACCTACCCAACAAAGTGTGAGGTGGTGGAGACAGGTTTCTGGATGAACTGCTTGCGGAATTTTGAGAAGCATCCATCGGCAATTACTGTCAATGACGCAAAGTACTGTGCAGTAACTGTTGGCGTTGTCGATTCTACGGAAGCATCCTTCTTGGGTGTGCATGTTACTCCAAGGACACGAACACCATCATCATCGTAAATCATCTCGTTCGCAGTTGCCTCCACGATAGTAACACTAGCAAAATACAAAAAGTGAGTGATATAATTAGTATTACAGTTTACATATTCATATTCTAAGCCAGGCTGAAGGATCCTGATGAAAATCAATTCAAGTGTCATACTTTGGTGTCTGCGACGCAGCTATTCGCAGCTTCTGAATAAATCGACCGTGATGGAAGGATCTTCCTTGGTCCTGCTTTCCGGTCTCGGGATCGATGAGATAGGGGATGTGTACATGTTCTGATCCACGAATGACTCCATATCCATATGTGGGAATGGCATCAATGCCCTCCAAACAATCAGCCAGGCCTAATTCCTTCAATGCTTTGTATCCACCAGGTTGCAATAGTTCTCCAACAATACGATCTGGTTCGCTCAGGTCTCTTTCTATTCAAGACAAAATAAAATAATAGTAAAAATAAATCATTAAATAGGAGTTCTTTGTAAAATGATAAGCCTAATCTTAATTGCATGACCGTTTAAAGAAACGTGAATGGGCGAAAAGTTTTTTTTTTTATTTTTTTTTATTTCAGGTCCCTTTAATCCCAAATCAGGCCATTCTTTGTTTGCCCAAACAGATCAAAGCACACAGCTTCGGCATGGCAGAGGTCCGAGCAAAAAAATAGATTGTTTATTCTTAATGTATAACACAAAATGGATCCTCATTCAAGAACTTGACCTACCGATTAAGAGAATCTGCTTATTCTGTTTTGCAAAAGTAGTTGCAAACGCAGATCCTAGTACTCCTGCACCGACAACAATGATATCGAACTTGGATCCATTTTCAGGCACACTTGCCAGCGAGGGAGCTAAAGCCTAGATGGTAATCAGTTGATTTGAATTAAATTAAATCGAGTTGAAGGAGACCATGAGCTTTCTTTTTCTTTCTTTCATGGCAACACTAAACACAAAGCTGTAGTCGAGTTTTTGCCTTACGTTTCCAGGCATGTGTAATTAATATGAAACAGAAAGAGAAAAGAATAAGGAAGGATGATATAACAGAAATAACAGAGCTGAAAGAAAGAGCGAGAGAAGAAGAAGTAGTGGAATGAGAACGAGAATGAGGGATGAGGAATGAGGAATGAATTCAGAATTAAGCAAAGGAAAAAAGAAAGAAAAAAGATACTTTCTTGACCGAGTTCTCTGAATGTGTTTTTACTGCGATTCAAAAAAGGTCGACTCGCACAGTCACGGTGCAGACGGACAAAAAAAAATCAGGCCACCTTTTGTCCTCATGTTGTGTCCATGTTGTCGAAGTATCCCTCTTCAAGAAAACTGACACTATTCGAGTCCGACTTTCATATGTCAAACAGTCGCCAGTGCCACCAACACGCTATTTTTTTTTTTTTTTTTTTTTTTTTCTTTTGACAGATACTCTCGGACAATGAATAAAAAAATAAAGCGTCGTTCAGAAGCCTAAGTACATGGACACAGCACAAAAGTTTAGACAGTGTATAACTGTGCAACCCATTGTCACACCACCTAATTTCTATTCTTTTTTTATTTTTTTTTTATTTCATGTCTTCATGTCTGTTGTTGAACAACCGTATCAAGAATCTTCTTGAATTGAGCCACACACATGTCAAGCCATCTCTCATGTTCAGCTTGTCCACGAACAAACAGCCTACCCATAAGAATACAATCTTGATTCTTGCGACTCAGCTCCTTCAATTGCTCAATGATCGATCCCTGATCCTGAGGACTATACAACGATGTCGCAATCTCGTCCGTGAGGGCAACAATACCTCCAGCTCGATCATACAATTGATCCCACATCAACGCCAAATCCGATTGTTTCAAAGTTACTGTTGATCCAGCTGTTGTAGGATCCGTTCCTAATAAAGACGGTGACGCGTTTGATAAAGATGCTGATGTATCGATAGTACGAGATGGCTCCACATCAAGACACCGTTGCTGCAGCTTCTTGAACAAAAGTCTTGTCAACTTTAACATAGCATTAGCCCGAGTGCTCAGTTGTTTCTCCTCCTCCGTCATCTTTTCATCCTCACCCCAACTGTCGTCACTTTCATCACCACTATCGTTGCCATCTTCATCATCTTCATCATCATCTTCATCATCTTCATCATTACTATCCTTCTTGTCATCATTCGTGTCAATCATTTCCTGAACCTCAGCAATTGCATCCTCCATCGTTGACATCATATCCCCCCATTTCTTTGCCACAGCCTGACGATTCGAACGGCTCGCTTTTTCAAAGATCTGACATGCTTCCCATACAATCCCAGTCTTGACCAAATAGCCATCTTCTTTTACAAAAGATGATTTATCTGCTAAGCCTTCTGAGGACAATGATGCTATTGCTGTTTCTGCTGCTGCCACGGCCGCTGCTGCCGCGGTTGCACTGACACTTTTTTCCATTCCCACTCCTGTTCCTGTTCCTGCTCCTGCTCCTGCCCCTGTTCCTTTTACGTTTCCTCCTGTTTTTAGATCGAAAGCCATGTTCTGTTGTTGTATCTGTAACAGTTTCTCATTCTTGACCTCCAAAAACTCATTCATCAATCCTGCAGTCGCCAAAAAGATGTTATTAGCAAGGATCTGAATTTCGTTTTTATAAGTCTGTCCTGCAACCTTGACCGGGATTGATTCCACAAATCCTGCTAAACGAAAACATGTCTCCCCAAGAGCCTCCACCATCTTTATCACTGCCTTACTCTCTGCAGGAGGTTTGCAAGCAAGAGTCGCCTTGGTCACATCATTTGCAAGAAGTTTTCCGAGGTTTGCTATATGTAATTATTTACAGAGAGAGAGAGAGAGAGAGAGAGAGAGAGAGAGAGAGAGAGAGAGAGAGAGACAGTAAAAAATAAAAAGGAATTATTTTAGTTTTTTTATATTAGTGCTTTGTATCAACAACTTTTAATTATTGAAAATAAAAGTGATAAAAACAACAATAATAGTAGTAATAAACACATTACCAAGGCGTACACCAAATGCTTCACCATCCCAAGGCTCCTCGTCTTGAGTAGAGGATGGGGAATCAGTTTTTTCATCAAGAACCAAGTTCGATTTTAACTGCTCCACTAAGCCGTCCAGGGTCTCTGGGACGGCAGGCACAGAAAGCCGCATTGGTTCTATTACATAGCTCATGGCCATGTCAACCAATCCACGAATCTTTTGCTGTGCTTCCTCTGTCATGATTACCAAGCAAAAAAAAAAATTAATAATAATAAAAAATAAAATCCTTTGAGTTGTTGTCCTGCAAATGAATGCTTGTCTGAATCACTGAATGAAACTCCTTTCAAAAACATGCAAAAAAAAAAAAAAAAAAAAAAAAATAGTGGCAAAACAATTATCACGTGCGTAATTGATCAATTTTATTAGGGTTCGCTCAGCTGGTATTTTTCTGATGCTTTGGTCTCTGGAGGCATGGCTGCTTTCTCGTTATCCTTTTCTACTTTTTCTACCTCTCGTACACTTCGTCTTGTCAAGCCATTGCTATTACTATTGAACGTTAGGTCCTCAACGTTTACTTGGATATGATCCGGTGCAGCCTGTCGTGCGGTCGTCATTCCTGTTGTGTCTACTGGTGTAGTTGTTGTACATGCATCTGCTGCAGTTGTTGTTGATGCTGTGGTCTTGGATGGATCCTTTTGCAAAGCAGCTAATCTAGCCTTGATGCTAGCGCATTGATACGCTTTACTACCATCTCCCATCTTTTCGTCTTCCTTTGTCAATGGTGGTAGTGGTGGTAGTGGTGGTGAATCGGGTCGATTGTTTTGTTGTTCACTTCCACCGCCTCCTAAAAGACCAATGGTTTCTAAAGTATGCGCAAGTCCAATTCCCCCACTGCGGCCTTTAATACTACTTCCTCCTCCTCCCCCTACTGGATTTGATCCGGTATTGGATCCTTCTGAAAACACTTGCTGCTTCTGTGCATTCGAGATGAATTCAACCATGGCTTCACGAACATCCGAGGTCACTTGCACCACTTCCATTGCATTGGCTACACTGATCTGACAGGTTAATTCGATCGTGGTCTCTGTACAACCCGTGACTAGTAATGCAGCATGTCGTTGATCATAAAGTGGATGTGTGCGAGCAAATTTGAGGAAAGCCTGTCGTACTCGGGGGACTGGAAATGTGTAGTCAACAAACACTTTACACTGTGCTATCTGTCTAGGCGAGTTCCTGGACCAGTTTTGGAATATCTAAATGAACAAGAAAAGTGACATCAGAATGTCAGACGGAAGGGAAAAATAAAAAAGAACCCCTGGATCTCAATTTTTTTTTTTTTTTTTTGACACTTCATATCATCATATCATACGTTGCCCAGAAACCAAGTCAAAGGAACGACAAGACGACGTTCATCCAATGTCCTGACAATCACATATTGTGACTGGATCTCCTCAATATGTCCAATCTCCCCATTGACCTGAACTTGATCCTCTATCAGGAATGGCTGCGTTAATGCAATCGTTAAAGAAGCCAATGCATTCTAAATGTTTCTCCAAAATATAAAAGAAATTTAAATTATAATAAATAAATAAATAAGTAAAAAAGTAAGCTTAAAGACTTGAGAGCGGGTCTTTTCTTTTCTTTTTTTCTTTTTTGTACAATCCTCTCATGCTCCTTCAAATACCTCAATGGATGGTTTGGCTGCAAAGCCCAAGAGTATAGCCGAGACACTGGCGCTGGCTAAAAGCGAAACACCCACTTGCCATGCATTGGGGAATGTCATTGCAATACCAGACATTCCCACCAACCAGACCATCCCTTGAACTATCCTGGTCATGACCACTATCTGAGTTTCGACCTCCCGCGCCCTCTTGGGATCCGATTCCTTCAAATGATCATTACTCCTGCTCACTGCCATGGATGCACACTTGATCAGCATGACGACAAAGTATGAGATCGCAAACAATAGGATAATAATGAGCGCATGATTAAAAGCACCATAAACTCCCACAGGCAAAGTCACAAGTTGAACCGTTATTAGGAGCCCAATGGTCGGAAACATCACAAACGTTGGTTTTTTACTATAGAAAAAAAAAAAAAAAAAAAAAAAAAAAAAAAGACAAGTAAATGGATCTGTTAAGAAAAAAAATAAAATAAAATAAAATAGAATAAAACTAATAAATAGGCAGCAAAGCAACAGTTCCTTTTTTTTTTTTTTTTTTTTTTTTTTTTTACCAATGTTTGACAAGGTCATCATCGAATTGCCATATTGTCCTTTTGGCGAGCCTCTTGAAGAAAAATGTAAGGATAATGTGAAGAATTATAGCCCCAACAGCAACACCGAGGATGATGAATACTGCTGTCACTGTCGCCTGACGATCCAACGGAGATAAAGGATGAAGAATAAAGGAAAAAAATACAAAGACTGTTGAGATGTTATTCCGGATAAATAGAGGAGGATGATATGTAATTTTTTTAAATTTCAAAGAAGATCCGTTAACAGAAAAAAAAAAAAAAATCAACGATGTGGTCTTATTTTTATTATTATTGTCATTATTGAAGTTTTATTTACAATGGGCTTTGTCGTTGGGACAGATGGCACCGATGTCGTATTTGTATTCATGGCTTCTTTCAGTGCTCTGGCAGTAATTGGGAGGGGAAAAGAGTCGCAGGAAGGTGGTATGCAAGAAAGAGAGGAAGAGAGAGAAAGAAGAGGAGAAGAAGAGGCATTGAATCAAAGAAACATTGAACAAATTCCATCGTAAAAAACTATCCCTATGGGCGCAGACTGGGGAGAGAGTCATGTCCCCAAGTGCACGTCCCTTTCTCTTGATAGACAGCCAATCATCCACTTTGAAGGTCGTATCTCCATACTCCTATTTTTTTATTTATTATTGGACACATGATGGATGTCAGGAAACAGGGAATTGTATCCAAACAGCACATGGAACATGCCGTACTACAATGGAGGAGGAAAAAAAAGGGGTTCTATCATCTATGGCGACTGCCCGGGCTCCATTCGTAACTGTATAAACATCTGAACATTACCACATGCTATTGACTACCCTGTGCTCCTTGAACAATGCTTTTAGCATATCCCTGCACTTCAAAGACCAAGATCTTGGTACTTCTTTTGGCTTAATCACTTGGTTTATCCCTTGAACCGTAAAACGGGCAGATTTGCCCATTTAGCTTTCATCAACTCATGGACAGATCAGGTCTAGTTCTCTGTGCTTTCTACTAACAGAAAACAACCGTCTATTGCATGCCAAGGAAGAAAAAACCCAGGTTAAAAGGCTCACTACAAAATTTCCTGATACAGGTCATCCAATCTCTGGGGGTCTGCCCTATGTCGAGCCTCGACATATTCGATATCTGACAATGGAGTTGATGAACCATACAGGCTGATGGGGCGAAATGCCCGAAGGTTCTTCCTAGCAGCTATCCTTGTTGACGTTGGCTGTATGCGATGTGAAAAGAGTAGAAGGAAGAAGGTCGGCGACGCCATTTAATGGAAAATAACGGATTAAAAAGAATTAAATTCATCTCACTTGTCCTTTGGCTCAACAAACAAATATGCAACCATGACGGCAAGAGAGGAGCCTGTTCAAGTAATCAAGGAAGCTTCCTCTTGGATGTTTGCAAGATTAGGAGAAAAAAAGAAAAAAAAAGTAGGTTAAGATGTCAATGCGCTGTCTCCAGCAAAGCAATGACGGATGCCTTAACACGATCTGCTCACAAAGAAGCAGAGTTGGTGTCTGGTAGTCTTTTTTCAGTCGAAGTGATCTTCGAAAGAAAAACGTCCATTCCTACCCGGAGGATTGCTAACTAGCTCTCAACTCGTGTCAACACAAAGATTAATCAGTCCACAAAAACTCTGGCCTTAAAAGGATTTTTGCTTCTTTTTTGTGACTGGCATTTCAGTAATTCTTTGAAATGAATTATGGGGACTTTTATGACATTTTACTTCTATTTAAGACTCTCCATAAAAAACATTAAAAAAAAAAAAAATAAAAAAAAAAATAAAAAAAGAAACTACTTCTGCCATGATCCTATATCTTCCATCAGGATCTCATCACTACCCTCAATGTTGTTATCAGCATCACCTACAGGACTTCCACCTGTCAATCCAGTTATAGAGTGAGTAGGAGACATAGCGTCCGAATATCCAGCACGTTTAACCATTTCAGCCTCAAATCGGAACAAGACCCAGATCCACCGTCTCAAAACCTCAAGACACTCCATCGTGAACACGCCACCCTCATACTCTTCAATCTGAATATTCGATACCAACTTCAGCATCCATGTGGTTCGGAGCAAAAAGTCCAATACCATCGCCATGATATAAAAGGATCGTTCTTCATAATGCAAGTAAGGTCGCATCTCTAGCCGATAGTACCATTTGCTGGTGCGATTATTACCATGGTTGCTTCCATTGACATTACCGTTGCTAGATGGTGAACCCAAAAGGTTCATACTGCCACTGTTGCCTCCACTTGCCTGGCTTAACATGTCGTTCATAGATCCAATTTTGGGTGTTCCCGGAGACAAAGGTCCTGTGCTAATGCGAGAATTGACGCTATTGGATCCCGATCCCGGTGGCAAGACTTGGATTAGGTTCCAATCATGATAAATATCCCAATAGAATGAATAAAAGGAATTAAGAGCCACAAAAAAGAGCCTAATATGAATTATGAAATATCAGGGTTAATATCGTGCATATTGTGCTGATAACGTACTTTATATATATATATAAAAGACTTACCATAAACGAAAGAGTGAGTTATCTGTGAAATATCCTTCATACTGTACGCCTTTTAGTGATGCTGCTTTTGACGCTTTCTGCATGGATGAAACAATGATGACTGGAAAAGCTGATGCGTACTTAAGTGCATTCATAAGATGCCTTTCAACGGTGTAATTTGACTCAATATACTCTGAAAGGCACTGACGAAGACGAATAAAGTATGGAATGCTGTATTGAATGAATATCGAATGTGCACCGCCCAAATCAAGAAAGAGAAAAAAAAAAAAACACGAAACATTAGAAAAGATATGTTCCTGCATTGAGCTGTAGATGCTGCTGCTAAACAACCAATAACGTTAGCACTCGTACCTTGTCATGATAGGAACCAGGATACTGCTATAGCATGCGTCCGCATTCGTCCCGGTTCGGTCTAGAAACATTAGGCACAGCGCCACTGCCAAATCGCCAAAGACTCGAGCAAATGACGTCAAGATATCAGCGAGGATCACATCTGCGAATAACACCTCTGATTTGAATCCAGAAAATAAAGCCTTATTCATCGATCTATGAAAGAATGAGCCACAAGAGAATAAGTAACAACCATTGAGCTATGATCCAAGACCGATCTATATAATCAAATAATGTTGATTTCAAGCTAGTAGTGCGAAATACCTTAAGAATCGATAGCGTTCCTTTTTGAAAAGTATGTTAAATGGGAGGAAGATCATGGCTAGAATTGTCAGATATCCAATGATAGGGACTATAATTCCTGCACGTGTATTATCGGGTAGTCCCATGCCTCCTCTAATGACTCCTGCTGATGAATTTGTGTTGCCTCCTTTGTTTCTGTTGTTTCCAGAATTAGATGATCCAGCCACAACCCATTTGTACATCCACATGTTGACCAGGACCATAAAGAGAAAGGCCACTCCGAGGGTATAGATGGATCGGTAGAGGGCTGAAAGAGCTGTTGATTTATTGACGACTTTGTCTCCTCGGGAATGCCTCGGATGGTTTGTATAAACTCCTGAAAGGGGTGGGCTAGAGAACAAGAGATTGGAGACATCAACTCGCAAATACGAAAGGATATGGAGGTTGCTCGCCCAAGCAAAAATGCCAATGCAGCCCATCAACAGGACTCTGTATGGGAGTGGTACTGTTCCTGAGAAGTCCCACTCCTCAAAGATATTGCCAATGTCCATTGTGACCAATTGGCTAGATGTATTTCGATTGTCTGTTTACTAGACTCTATCTTGTTCAAAAGGGACGATAATAATAACACTAAAGATGGCTAAGAGGGGTATCAGGTTATATAATGAAAAAAGTCGTGAAAGATGAAGAACAAAAGAAGGCAGATGAGAAAAGATGAAGTACCGGACAGAATATAAAATGATGAATAAATACGATGTAAATAAATGAATAAATGAAGAGATGCAAGAATAAGTAAAGAGTAAAGAATATTCTTCAGTTTAAGTTTGATGGAGATGAGATGAAGAGAATGAAGAAATACTTCATTCCAAGTGTTGAAGGGCACAAAGGAAAGGACAAAGCAAAGGCGCCCAAAAGCCACAGCACATGCGAAAGAGGTTGATCTGGTCCAATCCGGGGATCTAACGCCCAAACTGATGTTACACACGCATCGTGGCATGCCATTAAAGATATTTCTATTTTGAGCCCTCTGATTATATCTGATTATACTCGCGTCAACTGGGAAACAAATCCTTCATTCTTGGATCTAGTGATACAAGAGTGAATACATCTAGATTTTGCTACATTAGCTATTTAGAAAGTTTGGGGATCCGAATGTAAAAGAAGCATTGAACAAGTTCGCTTCCATGCGTGCTACACCATTGTCCTTCAAAGGACGGGTGATCAGAAGATGTGTCCAAAATCCTAATTCTTCTTTTACTCTCTAAAAGAAATACCATCTAACCCGAGTACCATTTATTGAAGGGTATATAACTGGCTCGTAAGTTGTGATCCTGATAATAAGGACGCTCATCATTAAAATGAGTATTTGATACTAAACATGAATAGAATGTTGAGTTGTTTTCCAAATGGTCAACCACATACAATAAGATACGATGGTGGCAACAGCCTTTGTTATCTTATCTACTCAGCCAATGCTGTCAGATCAAGCTTGTACGGCAGCATAGCTGGTTAGGCTTTTTTTTCTAATGCTCATCCAGGAAAAAAAGATTTGGAGTAGTGAAACAGTCTCATTGATTTTTGGTCGTGTGGGTCGTGGACGCACAGGTAATCAATTATACGAATATGCAGGAAGCGAGGGGGCCACCTCAAGAAACCCCAGAATTTGGATTACAAGGTTCGCAGTCCCATCATCTCAAAACACAACAACAACAACAACAAAAAAAAAGTCGTGTGTGTAATGTGGAGTTACAATTGTATACTTCTGAGGATAAGAAAGAGAAGAGGATAAGGATATGACTTACGATTTAGCGAATCGACTATGCATGCAAATGCTAGCCTAGCTGCTTTAAAAAAAAAGCGGATGTGCGTAATAAAAAGTCGCTAGTGAAAGAAGGAGATGGAGAGTTTATCTTCAAAGATTTGACTATGTGTCACCTTGAGTAGTGTCTTTTGTCTGTCAGCAATCTAAAAAATTCGTTTAATACGAACTAAAGGCTAGAAGGCATGTGGCTTGTATCCGGCGAAGCGTCTTCCTCACCTTCTCCTTTAAAAAGAAGCCTCATTGTGTTGAGAGATCTTTTTCTTTCTTTCTCTCTTTTTTTTTTTTGTTTTGTTTTTTTTTTTATTCTGTACCCTTTCACTCGACAACCTCCTTCACACTTCGAGACGAGCGAATCAGTTTTTTATTTATTATTTGCATTCTTCATTCAGTCATTCTTTCGCTCGAATCTCATTCACCTTTTTTTTTTTTTTTTTTTTTTTTTTTTGCATACTTTCATTTTCATTTGTGTATTAATTCTATTGCATTTTTTTTTTTTGCATTCATATCATTTCACTTCATCATCCACCTTATATCCCTTACTCATAAATATATAAAGACCAGTAAAAATGCCTTCCCAAGTCCATGCCGAGGCTGTTAACCCTCTTCCTCATCCTCCTGTTACTGGCGCCCCTTGCGAGCAACCCAATGCCACTATCGCTACGTTGGTCTTTCGAGATGGCACCTCTTATCAGGGTATCTCCTTTGGTGCTGAGACCAAGAGCATTGCCGGCGAGTGTGTCTTCCAGACAGGTATGGGATCCATTGCATTTTGCATTTGAGCTTCGACAGTTTGCCCCATTCGTGTGAATATCCCAACCCTTCTCCATCATTGTGGGGTAACAAGCCGCGCACAGATCGCGTGTTCACTTTATCTCCCTCCATATCACAGTCTCTCACCTTTCCATGTTCTCGACTTTTTGTTGCATTGCTTGCATCTAGGTATGGTCGGATACCCCGAGTCCGTAACCGATCCCTCATACAGAGGTCAGATCCTTGTCTTGACCTTCCCCTTGGTTGGAAACTATGGTGTGCCCTCACGTGAGACCATGGATCCTCTTCTCAAGGACTTGCCAAAGTACTTTGAGTCGAACGAGATCCACGTTGCTGGTCTAATCATCGGTCAGTATTCCCAAGACTTTTCCCACTACCTTGCTGCATCCTCGCTTGGTGATTGGCTCAAGGAGAACAACATCCCTGCCATCTATGGAATCGACACCAGGGCCTTGACCAAGAAGATCCGTTCCCAGGGTGCCATGCTCGGAAAAATCCTGTTCCCCACTGCTGTTGTCGGTCCCACTATCGTCCCTGCCGAAGCTGAATGGATGAAGGAGTACCAGAATATTGACTGGGTTGACCCTAATTCTCGCAACCTGATTGCTGAAGGTATGCTTTCTTTATAGTTTCTCTTTGCATCCCTCGCTATCATCCATTGATTGATGGACCAACTGATCTACTTGATACATTCTCACTAAATTCACTGAACCCTATTATACTTTCCTCTGAGTGATCAATAGTCTCTCTCAAGGAGCCAAAGATCTACGCACCCGAGTCTTCGACCGCTCTCTTGGGACCTAACGGAAAGCCTCTTCGCATCGTTACTGTCGATGTCGGAATGGTATGAGCAGCAGGGATTGTGGTTTCTCGGAATATGATGTCAACTAGACTAGACCAATATCTAACCTCTGATGCTGTTTATCTTTTTTTTTTTTTTTTTTTTTTTTTTCTTTCTTCAAAAACAGAAATACAACCAACTCCGCTGCTTTGTGACTCGTGGTGTAGAGGTCAAGGTGGTTCCCTACGACTATGATTTCAATGCTGATACAGACTATGATGGTCTTTTCATCTCCAACGGTCCTGGAGACCCAATCATGAATACTACCACCATCGCCAATTTGACCAAGGCTGTCCAGATTGCTCGCACCCCTATCTTTGGTATTTGCTTGGGTCATCAGCTCTTGGCCCTTGCTTCTGGAGCTTCCACCAAGAAGATGAAGTTTGGTAACCGTGGTCACAACATCCCTTGCACAAACATGGTAACTGGACGTTGCTACATTCTTTCACCAGGTAAAAAGCAAAGAGCTCGGTGTTGTTTTTGGATAAAGAAGAAAAAGAAAAGAAAAAGAAAGATGCAATATGACTTCGGATAGAGTCCAGTAACTTACAAATATCCTTTCGTTTTGGCACACACAATTAGAAACCATGTTATGCTGTCGATGCCAGCTCACTTCCCGACTCCTCATAGAGTTTGTTTATCAACGCCAACGACGGTTCTAAATGAGGGTATCATGCACAAGACTCTGCCATCTTCACTTTATCTCCCTCCATATCACAGTCTCTCACCTTTCCATGTTCTCGACTTTTTGTTGCATTGCTTGCATCTAGGTATGGTCGGATACCCCGAGTCCGTAACCGATCCCTCATACAGAGGTCAGATCCTTGTCTTGACCTTCCCCTTGGTTGGAAACTATGGTGTGCCCTCACGTGAGACCATGGATCCTCTTCTCAAGGACTTGCCAAAGTACTTTGAGTCGAACGAGATCCACGTTGCTGGTCTAATCATCGGTCAGTATTCCCAAGACTTTTCCCACTACCTTGCTGCATCCTCGCTTGGTGATTGGCTCAAGGAGAACAACATCCCTGCCATCTATGGAATCGACACCAGGGCCTTGACCAAGAAGATCCGTTCCCAGGGTGCCATGCTCGGAAAAATCCTGTTCCCCACTGCTGTTGTCGGTCCCACTATCGTCCCTGCCGAAGCTGAATGGATGAAGGAGTACCAGAATATTGACTGGGTTGACCCTAATTCTCGCAACCTGGTTGCTGAAGGTATGCTTTCTTTATAGTTTCTCTTTGCATCCCTCGCTATCATCCATTGATTGATGGACCAACTGATCTACTTGATACATTCTCACTAAATTCACTGAACCCTATTATACTTTCCTCTGAGTGATCAATAGTCTCTCTCAAGGAGCCAAAGATCTACGCACCCGAGTCTTCGACCGCTCTCTTGGGACCTAACGGAAAGCCTCTTCGCATCGTTACTGTCGATGTCGGAATGGTATGAGCAGCAGGGATTGTGGTTTCTCGGAATATGATGTCAACTAGACTAGACCAATATCTAACCTCTGATGCTGTTTATCTTTTTTTTTTTTTTTTTTTTTTTTTTCTTTCTTCAAAAACAGAAATACAACCAACTCCGCTGCTTTGTGACTCGTGGTGTAGAGGTCAAGGTGGTTCCCTACGACTATGATTTCAATGCTGATACAGACTATGATGGTCTTTTCATCTCCAACGGTCCTGGAGACCCAATCATGAATACTACCACCATCGCCAATTTGACCAAGGCTGTCCAGATTGCTCGCACCCCTATCTTTGGTATTTGCTTGGGTCATCAGCTCTTGGCCCTTGCTTCTGGAGCTTCCACCAAGAAGATGAAGTTTGGTAACCGTGGTCACAACATCCCTTGCACAAACATGGTAACTGGACGTTGCTACATTTCTTCACAGGTAAAGCAAAGAGCTCGGTGTTGTTTTGGCATAAAGAAGAAAAAGAAAAGAAAAAGAAGATGCAATATGACTTCGGATAGAGTCCCAGTAACTTACAAATATCCTTTCGTATGTTTGCACACACAATTAGAACCATGGTTATGCTGTCGATGCCAGCTCACTTCCCGACTCCTTCATAGAGTTGTTTATCAACGCCAACGACGGTTCTAATGAGGGTATCATGCACAAGACTCTGCCGATCTTCTCTGTCCAGTTCCATCCCGAGTCCACTCCTGGTCCTCGTGATACCGAGTTCTTGTTTGATGTATTCATCAGCTCTGTGGTCGACTTTAGAAAGACAGGTGTGTTGAAGCCCATCACCATGCCTGGCGGCACCAAGGAGGAGGCAGCAGCGCTCAACCCTCGGGTCAATGTCCGCAAAGTCCTTGTTCTTGGATCTGGTGGTCTGTCAATCGGTCAGGCTGGAGAGTTTGATTATTCTGGTTCACAGGCCATTAAGGCCTTGAAGGAAGAAGGCATCTACACGGTCTTGATCAACCCCAACATTGCCACTATCCAGACCTCGAAGGGTCTTGCAGACAAGGTCTACTTCTTGCCTGTCACTCCCGAGTTTGTGCGCAAGGTCATCCTCCGTGAGAAGCCTGATGGTATTTATGTCACCTTTGGAGGTCAAACAGCCTTGTCTGTGGGCATCAAGATGAAGGACGAGTTTGCAGGTCTCGGTGTCCGTGTTCTGGGTACACCTATCGATACCATCATCGCCACTGAGGATCGTGAAGTGTTTGCTCAGCGCATGTTGTCGATTGGCGAGAAGATTGCCCAGGCTCAGACAGCTGTCACTGTGCAGGAGGCTCTTGCAGCAGCCAACCAGATTGGTTATCCCGTCATTTGCCGTGCTGCCTATGCTCTCGGAGGACTTGGTTCTGGATTTGCTAACAATGATCAAGAATTGGCAGAGCTAACATCCAAGGCCTTTGCCACATCGCCTCAGGTGCTGATTGAGCGGTCGATGAAGGGCTGGAAGGAGATCGAATACGAGGTCGTGCGTGATTGCCGTGACAACTGTATCACTGTCTGTAACATGGAGAACTTTGACCCTCTGGGCATTCACACCGGAGACTCGATCGTTGTTGCACCCTCGCAGACTCTTTCGGATGAGGACTACAATATGCTTCGCACCACAGCCGTCAATGTCATCCGTCACTTGGGAGTGGTCGGAGAGTGTAACATCCAGTATGCACTCAATCCCTTCTCAAAGGAGTACTGCATTATTGAGGTCAATGCTCGTCTGTCGCGTTCGTCGGCTCTTGCTAGTAAGGCCACTGGTTACCCCTTGGCATTTGTCGCTGCCAAGCTTGGTCTCAACATCCCCTTGAACGAGATTTCCAACTCTGTGACCAAGGTGACATGCGCCTGCTTCGAGCCCTCGCTCGACTATGTTGTTGTCAAGATGCCTCGCTGGGATCTGAACAAGTTTGATCGTGTCTCAAAGAGTCTGTCATCGTCGATGAAGTCTGTGGGAGAAGTCATGGCCATTGGTCGTACCTTTGAGGAGACGATTCAGAAGGCTATCCGAGCAATTGATCCTTCCTTGGTCGGTTTCGCACCCAAGCAGTCGTATGATGTGATTGATGATGAGTTGACCAACCCCAGCGACCAGCGTGTGTTTGCGATTGCGAATGCACTCCAGAAGGGTTATTCCGTAGATCGTATCTGGGAGCTGACCAAGATTGACAAGTGGTTCTTGAACAAGCTGGAGAACATTGTTAAGCTCGAGAAGACACTCGGCAACTATGGTGCTACAGACCTGCCTATCAACTTGCTCCGCTCAGCCAAGCAGCTCGGCTTCTCGGATCGTCAGATTGCCACAGCCATCTCTAGCAACGAGCTCTCTGTCCGCCGCCTGCGCACAGATGCAGGAGTGACACCATTTGTCAAGCAGATCGATACAGTTGCAGCCGAGTTCCCAGCCTTCACCAACTATCTGTACATGACCTACAATGCTGTTGAGCACGACATTGCATTCGAGGACAAGGGTGTGATGGTGTTGGGATCAGGAGTGTACCGCATTGGTTCATCTGTCGAGTTTGACTGGTGCGCTGTCCGAGCTATCCGCACTCTTCGCAGCCGTGGTGTCAAGACTGTCATGGTCAACTACAATCCTGAGACAGTCTCAACAGACTATGATGAGGCTGATCGCCTGTACTTTGAGAACATCAATCTGGAGCGCATTCTTGACATCTATGAGATCGAGTCATCGTCCGGTGTAGTGATCACTATGGGTGGTCAGACTCCCAACAACATTGCTCTGCCATTGCACCGTCAGAACGTCAAGATCCTGGGAACGTCGCCTGAGATGATTGACAATGCTGAGAATCGGTACAAGTTCTCGCGTATGTTGGACCAGATCAATGTGGATCAGCCTCTGTGGAAGGAGTTGACTTCGTTGACAGAAGCTGGAGACTTCTGTAACAAGGTTGGATACCCAGTCTTGGTGCGTCCATCATATGTGTTGTCGGGAGCAGCCATGAACGTGGTCTACTCTCCTGATGACTTGGCCAACTACTTGGGCCAGGCCACAGCTGTCTCACGCGAGCACCCTGTGGTGATCTCCAAGTACATTGAGGATGCCAAGGAGATTGAGATGGATGCGATTGCTGTCAACGGAAAGATGGTGATGCATGTGATCTCTGAGCACGTCGAGAATGCTGGTGTGCACTCTGGAGATGCTACTCTGATTCTTCCACCTCAGGATTTGGACCCCGAGACGATCCGTAAGATCGAGGCAGCTACAGCCAAGATTGGACAGGCCTTGGATGTCACTGGGTGCTTCAACATCCAGTTCATTGCCAAGGACAACGAGATCAAGGTTATTGAGTGCAACTTGCGTGCATCACGCTCGATGCCATTTGTGTCCAAGGTGATGGAGGTTGATCTGATCGAGATGGCGACCAATGCCATGTTGGGCTTCCCTGTTGAACCCTATCCCGAGACACCTATTCCCAAGACTGGCTATGTCGGCATCAAGGTCCCTCAGTTCTCGTTCTCGCGCCTGTCAGGAGCCGATCCTGTTCTTGGAGTGGAGATGGCCTCGACCGGAGAGGTTGCATGCTTTGGCAAGGACAAGTACGAGGCGTACATCAAGGCTATGGTCTCGACTGGCTTCACACTGCCCAAGAAGAACATTCTTTTGTCAATTGGTTCGTTCAAGGAGAAACAAGAGATGCTCCCAGCTGTCAAGCGTCTGCGCTCACTCGGCTACAACTTGTTTGCCACCGCTGGTACGGCTGACTTCATGAACGAGCACGATGTGCCTGTCAAGTACTTGGAGACACTTGAGGAAGGAGGAGACAATCAACAAAAGTCCGAGTACTCACTCAACCAGCACTTGGCCAACAACTTGATTGACCTGTACATCAATTTGCCCTCCAAGAACCGCTACCGCCGTCCAGCCAGCTATGTCTCAAAGGGTTACCGTACTCGTCGTATGGCTGTTGACTTTTCGATTCCTCTGATCACAAATGTCAAGTGCGCCAAGCTGTTTATTGAGGCTCTTGCACGACACAAGGAGATTGAGATTGAGACTGTGGATTATAAATCTAGCAACCGCACGATGACGCTGCCTGGTTTGATCAACATCCAGGCTCTTGTTCCTGGCATCTCGACTGCGGCCAGCAAGGACTTTGAGAATGTGTCCAAGTCATCGATTGCATCTGGATTCACGATTGTTGGAGCCATGGCAACAGGATCTCCCAAGGGTGTGGAGGACAGCGCTAGCTTAGCGATTGCATTGACCAACACTCGCAACCATGCTCACTGCGACTACTACTTGTCGATGAACGCCAATGTCGACAATGTCAACAACCGCCTCAAGGAGACTGCAGCTTTGTTCATTCCATTCTCACCTATTGCAGGCCGTGCGATGGCCAATGTTTCAGAAGCAGCCAAGTACTTTAGCACATGGCCTGTCAACAGCCCTGTAGTGACCGATGCCAAGGGTACAGATCTGGCCTCGATCTTGCTCCTAGCCAGCCTCCACAACCGCTCGGTTCACATCACAGGAGTGTCGAGCCGTGATGACATGGCCTTGATTGCAATGAGCAAGGACAAGGGTCTTCAGGTGACATGCGACATTGAGGTCTACTCCTTGTTCTTGACACAGGAGGAGGTCAGCTCGAAGCTGTTGCCAACTAAGGTTGAGCAGGATGCTTTCTGGGCCAGTCTCGATGTCTTTGACTGCTTCACGGTTGGTTCGTTGCCTTACCGCCTTGCAACCGAGAAGGGCTCTGCTGTTGCATCCACTGGTATTGCTGAGACCCTCCCTCTGTTGATCGATGCAGTCAACAAGGGCCGCTTGACCATGCAGGATGTTATTGCCAAGCTGTACACCAACCCTCGCAAGATCTTCTCACTCCCTGAGCAGAAGGATTCGTATGTTGAGATTGAGACTGACCGTGTGTGTGTTCCCTCTACTCAGGAAGGACCTTTCGCAGGCAAGTCGTTGACTGGCACAGTCCATCGCGTGGTCCTCCATGGAGAGACTGCATACTTGGATGGGGCATGGTACACCACAGGAGCAGAGGGCCAGGATTTGTCGAGCTTGACCCAGACGACGGTTGTCAGCGCTGCCAAGCCTGTGGAGAAGATCACTATCCCAACCTCAACTCAGACAACCATGCATTCGCCTCGTCTCGGACCTTCAGTTGAGCTTTCAGTCCCTCCGACTCCGAAGATGCGTCCAAGCGACAGTGGTCGGCGCGGCAGCATCCAGGGCTCTGCCGCTGATATCGCAGCAGCAACACATACGGTTTTGACGCCTGCTCTTATTGCCAAAGAGTCGTTACCTTCGTCGATTGGACGGATATTGAACAACTCACCATTCTCTCATCGGCACATTCTTTCCTCCAAGCAGTTTGACCGCAACGAGCTCCACACTCTGTTCAGCTTGGCTCATGAGATGCGCACTCAAGTGGAGCGTTACGGATCGATTGACTTGCTCCACGGCAAGGTGATGTGCTCAATGTTCTATGAGCCTTCGACTCGTACCTCATGCTCGTTCTCAGCTGCTATGAACCGTCTTGGTGGTACGGTTGTCAACGTGGATGGAACATCGTCCTCGGTAGTCAAGGGAGAGACTCTTGCGGACACTGTGCGTACATTGGCATGCTATGGTGATCTGGTTGTGCTCCGCCACCCCGAGCCAGGCAGTGCAGCAGTAGCAGCCAAGTACTCAAAGGTACCGGTGATTAATGCAGGTGATGGTGTGGGTGAGCATCCTACTCAGGCCTTCTTGGACGTGTATACGATCCGTGAGGAATTGGGAACAGTCAATGGTTTGACGATCACATTGGTGGGAGATCTCAAGAACGGTCGTACGGTCCACTCGTTGGTCAAGTTGCTGGCGTACTACTCTGTGACATTGAACTTTGTCTCACCAGCGTCGCTCCAGATGCCTGAGGAGGTCAAGACCGAGTTGCTGAAGGCAGGAGTTGTCTACTACGAATACACGGACCTGAATGAGGTCATTGGGGTTTCGGATGTGGTTTATGTGACGCGAGTGCAAAAGGAGCGATTCGCAGATCTGGCGGAATATGAGAGTGTCAAGAGTGCATACATCATCAACAACAAGATGATGTCCAAGGCCAAGACGCAGATGGTGGTGATGCACCCATTGCCGCGTGTGACGGAGATTGAGCCTGAGGTTGACTTTGATCAACGTGCCGCATACTTCCGTCAGATGAGATATGGACTCTATGTGCGCATGGCTTTGTTGGCATTGGTCCTTGCCAAGTCCAACTAAGAAACAGAAGACATAAGCTGATGATAGATTGTTTAGTTTCTTCTCTTTTTCTTATCGCTTCATTAGTGTATAGTTTGTTTTTCTAATCATTTTACCATATATTCATTTTCGTATTTCATCTGTACCTTTTCTTTTCCATCGTCAGTAAATAATAACAGTATATATATACATGTATAACAATAAAATAGGCTGACTTTACTGATTAAAGTCGAGTACAAGTATAACTTTTAAAAATCTATTTTGTTCATTTCAATCATCGCAGCTGTGTTGAGAGGCAAAAAAACAAAGACGTCATGAAAGTAAAATAAAATAAAATAAACTGTTGTTGCTTGTCCAAATACCAAAGATCCAAGGTCACCTTGTCAATGCTCTTGCCGAGCAACTCCCTTAAAGATTTTCTTTTTACGTCTTCGTGGATAATTACTCCTTGAACATCAAGCTACTTCATGATTCGAGAGAACAAAGGAACTGGTGCTTGTGGAACTGCAAGGAACCAGGCAGAGATCATCCAAGGGGAACTCCGAGTCGACAAAGGCGTCAAGTTGGACTGGGATACTTCGTTCTGGGTGGAGAACCGTAGTAGGGAAAATTTTAGTTGCCTTTTGACAAGACAATGGGTCTGTTAAGATGTTGACAACCACACACGGAATTTTAAATGTCGTAAAAATACGAAACGGGCCTTTGGTGATTTTCTCCAAGAAAAGACCTCAATGTCCCAAGGGTTCATTGGCGACTACAACTATTGTAGATCAACTGAGGCCATATTATATATAACCTAACAGTCCTCACGACTCAACAAGGTTGTCCCTCTTTTTTTTTTTCCTCTGTAGTTACTAGACACCTCAGCCTAAAAAGCAGGCTCCTTCCTCTTCTCACTCGCACCCACTGGGGGATTCCCGACGTGAACATGTCTGGTCTTTTTAACTCTGTTTTCCTCGCCATCCTATGTAAACCAACAGTCCTCTTTGTTACAACAACAAGGCGAAACTGTTTAAAGAGCTTCTTCCTACACCCAGAATTAAAGTTTATTCTGTTCAACTTTTTTAGCGACTACGTAAATTTGCACAAAACTATTCAAACGATTGAAGGGAGGACAGAGTTTGCGCTTGCAGCAACAGTCATTCATTGCATAACAGCAGTAAGCAACCTTGGCTTGCTTCATTATAATATGACCCATACGTGTGTTTTTTATTAGATCTTATTGCTGTTATTACTATAATTATTATATTTATTATTTATTTAGAAAGAAGCAGCAATGGCCATGATAGCAGCGGCAACCAAACCGATGATCTCGATAGATGACGAGATGGAATGGGAGGCAGCGCTTGGTTTGTCAGAGGGCTTAGTGGAGCTAGCACTAGTGGTCGAACCAGAGCCAGGTGCGCCAGTAGTACCAGGGGCATTAGGGACTGTGGCAGTGGCAGTGGTAGTGCCGGATGGGGCAGGCAAAGTGCCAGAGGCACTTGAGCTGGGAGCACCACCTGTTGGAGGCTTGCAGGCTTCACCATTAGCCATGGCATAGTTACCGGGAATAAGGTTCCAGCAACCCTTTGTAGAATGGCCTAAAAAAAAATTTGTTTTATTGGTGAAGAAGGTCAACGATTAGAATATTTAATTTATTCAACCAGTTACAATTCGATGAAAAGGATAAAAAAAAAAAGGTACAAAAGAAAGTATTTCTTTGATTGCTGAGTATACTCCAGGCATTTGACCATGTAGCAAACAATAAACAGGAGAAGGACTGGAAAGATTCAACTCCAAAGAAAAAGAAAAAGAATAATAATAATAATAATAATAATAATAATAATAATAATAAAAACTTACTGGTATCACAGTTAACGTCGACATCTGTGCCGTTGCAGCAACGGATACAGTAGGTATTGCTGGCGGGTTCGAGCAAAGATAGAAACTTCTTTGAGTTGGCACAATGATACTGCCATCCATGTGAGTCCATCTGACCGCCTTCATCTGTAGGGTTCAATCCCCAAACAGAGGAGTCCATACAACCGGTGACTTGAGTGTATTGAGCAGTTTTGTTTTCAACAAAATGGGCGGATAAGATGAAGTTTTTGGGGCCAACTAGGTACTCTGAAGTGTTGGTCTGGAATTTGTCACCGAAGCAATAAGAGTTGGCACAAGCTTCATTAGGGGCGACAGGGTAAGCACCATAAGGAGGCATCATGGTACAAAAGTTGTTTTCGTCTATGATGGCAGTCAAATTGTGGTATCCGCCTGCAGCACGTGTGCAGTTGGAGGGCTCCTCCGCAAGAGCTGGAGCTGCAAGGGCAGCAAGGACAATAACACTCTTCCAGAACATGATGATGGAATAGACGATAGGAGGGAAATAAGTATACGTTGCTTGATCTGTGGAGGGGAAGAAGAAAGATATAGTCAAAGCAAAAAGGAGGTGATGATTATGAGAAAAGAAAAAAAGAAAGAAAAAAGAGAGGAGGAGAGGGAGGAGTCCAGCTTCAATGGTATTTATTAAATAAGATGAAAGAGAGCGGACATTCGTTGATGATAAGACATAAAGAGATAATGAGAGCAAGGAGCACTCATGTCCAACCATACACAGAATGGACGAATTGGTCGTTTTGGGAGAGTAGGAAGGGGCTAGGTGGACTAGTGTTTAGCCATCCATGGCGAATAAACATCCGTTGGCGTATCTTTTTTTTTTTTTTTTTTTTTTATTGTTTGTTTGTCCACCAAGACAGAATCTTAAAAAGTAAATGGACTAATGGACCTTCGGATAAACTAAGCATTCATTTGGAAGATGATTAGTCTACTAGTCTATGTATAAAAATAAAAACTAAACAGAAATCTTACATGTAATAGATGAATAGCTGATGACGACGAACCCAGCCTCCTAATAATACGCAAAGCAATCTGATATTATTAGTTTTTGAGTAACAAACATAACGACAGCCTGACACCATCGATCAGGAACAGGTTCCACAAGGAGAACAAACAAGTAGAGAAAAAGAGAACAAAGGTAATGTTATCACGATCTCCTTTATCATATCACTTCTAGATAGAAACTGAGCAATCGTCATTCGTTTGAAAAATAAAACGGATGATGATGATGATGATGAGAGAGAGAGAGTTACCCAGATTTGATTCATTCCATCCCGTTAAAAAAGTATTGAAGCAAAAAAAAAAAAAAAAAAAAGCAAAAAAAGAATAATTAAAAGCCAACGACGAACTTTTATATAAAAGTTTTGAAGCTAAAGAGATGATAGAAATGTCTTGAGATGGTGAATCTTTCATCCAATACAAATCAATAAATTCAAATGATTAAATCTTCTTGCTTTTTGTCTTCTCAATATCAAAATAACGTTGAGAACAATTGGAGCCATGATCACTTTACAAAAGGCTGTTTTATAACGACAAGAAGCAAAAAAAAAAAAAAAAAAAAAAGCAATACGTTTCTCAAAGCTCCATGATGACATAATCATACTATTGCAAGATAGGTCCCTACCGAGATGTGTTCATTTTTACGCAGTAGCCAAAAAACAAAAAATAATAAAAATAATAATAAAAAAAGCCTTGCACTTTTCTATTTGTTTGACGAACGGATGGTATAAAATGAGTCAAGAAATACTCTTTAGGCTGTGTCAATCATACGACCATATTATGACCATGCGGCCATTCCGAGCCCACAAACACCCCTTGGACTGGAAGTAGGAGCATCAAGATGGCCAAATGGTAGTTAATTCTTTGATCTAGAACACCATGGAAGCAAACAAACAAAGCAAACAAACTTTTCTTTTTCGCTCTCTCTTTCCCTATTTGCCCTGTTGAACCAAAAATCCACAGGGATATTTTCTTCCATTTTTGGAAGGCTCATTGCCCGCTCAACACAATGCAATGCTGGCTGGAATGGCACTCGTGAATTAATTCCTTCCTTGTATTCTTTATTTCGTAAAGCTCACATTGGGAGTGAAAGACATGCGACATCGTGCTGGAGTAGTAGACAATAAACCAACATCGGGACAAAGGAACAATTGAGCATAAATACATTTTTATTTTATATCAATTAGCGATAAATCGAGGCGAAAAAAGAAGAAATAAAGTACATCTTAATAGATCTTAAGAGAAATGGTAAAATATATATGATAAAAATAATTAAGATAAAGTGCGCAGTAGTCCTAGATTACCACTTGACAGCTAGTGGGTTAACAAGGTTCTGTTCAACTGCATGGTATCCTGTCCGAAGCTGCTGTTTCGCCTTTGGCGTATCTACACCACCGAGCCATTCCTGATACAGCTGGGCTAGCACTGGATTCTCTTCAGGTTTGCGTGCTAGCACACCATTTCTATATTGTTGATCCACCTGAACAATCCATTCTTTCAATGGGATAGTGGCATAATTGTCACCATGAGGCTTGAGCTGTCCACCTCCATTGATACAGCCTGAAGGACAAGCCATCACCTCAACGAAATGGTATGGTGACTTGCCTGTCTTGACCTTACGGACCAAGTTTTGAATGTTCCTGAACCCATAAGCTGCTGCAAATCTCAACAAGACCTCACCATTCGTTGATCCTGGCGCTTCAAGCGTAACCTCTCTGAAGTCTGCATTACGCACTGTCTTGACCTCTACTCCCAAGCCCTTATCTACATCAATGCCCTCGCCAATGCCAAACAGCTCTCTAGCAGCGTACTGCATCACGTACTCTAAGAACCCACCAGAGGCATTGCCGCTAGCACCCACCAAAACCTGATCAGTTCCTGTAGGGTCCTTGATCACAGAGCTATAGCCAGGGTCTAGATTTATCTCCCCGAATGTGTTCATATCAGGTTGTCCTTGTTCTGAAAACATCTTTTCGACCTCCGTGGACGTAATTACACAATCAACATCGCGTGTCTTGTAGAGATCAGAGTAAAAGTCTGAGCGTGATGCTTCCAGTTTCTTGTCATAACAGGGCATTACACATACATGATATATTTGATCCGGACTGATGAGTGGGAATACAAAAAAAAAAAAAAAAAAAAAAAAAGGTTAATCAGCGAACAATAAATTATCAAACAACATTACAGATAGAAAAGGGAAACGATTCATACTTTAAACCAAGCTGTGAACCAAAATGATTCTTCACCATGGACCCCATAATCTGCTGAGGAGACTTTGTTTCACTGATATAAGGAAGCATATAACCATGAGTTTTTTCAGCGTAGCAAATCCAACCTAAAGGCGAATATATATAAAGATCGATTAGTTTCAGTCAGCTCAAAACCATTGTTTTATATGGAAAAGAATAGAAAAGCCAACTCATCAAAGTATAGCATCCGTACCTGGACATGCCGACGCAAGCATAGGAATTGCGCTCTCTGTCTCTACTGCAACTGCAGGTTCATCGTTAGCACCAGCTGCTCCTCGACGGATGATCCTCTTTTTGGGAGCCTTTGTCGATATCTCTTGTGGAAGAGAATCCACATCCATCTCATTTTCACCGCTGGCTCCTCCTGCAACAGTCACCGTGCCATTCGTGGAGGCTGCTCCATTCATGTTAGGAGGCTTTATAATCCCCTTGGCTACTGCTTTTTTGTATCGCTCTACGAACTCACGTCCAGTCTCCAGTAGTGAGAGGTCTCTAGAGAAAGAAGTGTCAAACACAGAGTGTACTCCGAGATTCTTGAAGAACCATGTAAGTTTTCGAGCGACCTGTAAAGGTGTTTGATTATACTTTGCAGCAAATGAAGCGCGTGTTTGTGGAGAGATGGAGACAACGACCGTGCGGTGTGTACTTGGATCATTTGTCTAAATATGAGGCAATTGGTTGTACAAATTTTTTTTTATGGATGATTAGATGGAATGAACGGTGAATGTCGGGTCTAAGATCGAGATACATTATTTTATTAAAAAAAAAAAAAAAAAAAAAAAAAAAAAAAAAGATATCTTACCTCGATAGCAATCTTGTTCTGCTTCAGAATGCTATAAAGCTCTTCTTGGGACTGAAGTGTTACTAACACACTCTCTGCTGAGGTAATGCACCCACTGTATTAATCAAGACATAGAAAGAGAAAAAAAACAGATCATACATTAATAACCATTTCTTTTTCTTTTTCCAATTTATCTAGCACTTCCAACAATCCAAGTCTTTGATTGGCACAAAAAAAAAAAAAAAAAAGAAAAATCTCTACCTGCATGCCAAACAATCATTCAGATTGATCGTGGCAGTCTCAAGCTTGGTTTCCAAACCATCCTGAGATACTTCATAATATGATCCACTGTTATCGACCTTAATTGCCCCCTGATGGTGTGTGATATAAAATGGTTGATTAGTCATATATCAATGGGAAGGATATTAATCAATCCTGTGCTGTTGAACGGAGTTTAGCTGCGCAAGTCAACGAGTGTAATAAAAAAAAAAAAGCAATGCATGCGTTGCAATGTAAACAATGGTGGGTAATGTACCTGTGTGCCCGATGTCTTTGCTACCTCAACAGGCTTAATGCATGCTTGTGAAGGAGAAATGAAATCGTTCAGGTCTGAAAGGGTTAATGCTCCAGAGAATGCCATTCTGTCTGAAATAAAAAAGAGTGGAAATGAATGATAAAATAAAACAATGTCTGCAGTCTAACCGGAGTCCTTTGGGTCAGAAAAAAAAAAATAAAAAATAAAAAAAAAAAAGGGACTGCAAAAGAGATCCTGGGGGAAAGACAGGAAGCAGAAGATAAGGAAGTAGTAAAGAATGAAAAGAGTTCAAGTAGTCAGGAGTGAGGAAAAAAAAAAAAAAAAAAAACAAGAATACACTAGCTCATGGAGGGGATTGTCTTATGCACAGAAATGGAAATTAACGGGCGAAATTTTCTTTCTCGGAAGGGTGGCTTTGCACAAAGTGGATCACTCATGGGAGTCATCTCCGAGATTTTATGCATCCAACACAGGATGCTAAAACTCTATCAGGAATCTATAAGATAAGCAAAGCAACCCAACCTTATATTATTTATTATCTTTATAATCCACAGGAATGGTCTTCTAAAACAATAAGGACATTGATTGATATAGATATTGATGTTGATGTTGATGTTGATGTTGATGTTGATGTTGATGCTGATGCTGATATATACTGATGTTGATGTTGATGCTAGTACTGATGATTTCTTTGCCTGATCTTGTTCATTTCCCTTAGTTCCAACTTTGATTCTGACTATGAATTCGAGTCTGATGATGGCTGTGATATTACAATCTCTTCTTCACTCTCTAGCCGTCGAAGCTCTCGCTCAATGCGGCCCAGAATATGGTTATCATCTTCATGATCCAAATCTTTCTCCTCTTCACTCAAAGGAGCAGAACTAGAAGATGAAGAGCTCTTAGTTAACTCAGATTCATCCGTCTGACCCCCAAAAACTGAGCGATCAGCACCGACTACCGCATCCACAAATTTGGTCTTTTGTTTTGGAAAGAAGTCTCGCATCTTTGCAGAGAATTCAGGTATCTAGCAGGGAGAAGGGATACCATGAAAGACATTTGAGGAAGAGATCAGATCGAGTAAATGCGCGTCCGTCATCCAATATCGGTTTCGGCTAGCCATTGTCATATCTTCTTTTCACAAAAACCGAATAAACATACTGTCTCAACTTCCAGAGCCCATCGTGTTGTGCCCACTACTAAAACTGCACCTGACAGACAAAGTGTCGTAGCAACAGCAAAGGCTTTGATACCTAGTAATCTTCCTTCCCTCAATAACGCCTCTGTATTTTTGAAAGTGCTCAAGGATTGAAGAGCAGGGCCCACAGGTGTTCCTGCTGCTACTCGATCTATATCCCGAAGGGAATATTTAGCTTTAGTCACATAACATAAATACTTTTTTTTTTTTTTTTTTTTTTTTTTTTTCCGACTCATGCTCTAACAATTTCCAGTAGCCATTACTCAAAATGCCTAATAATAACACTGACAAGGTTACATACTAATGCCTCTGCGCTTCTCCCGCCAGCTTTGATACATAAGAGATCCAAAGATACCCGTTAAAAAAGCTGTGCCTGAAGCCATAAGGAATCCATTTGTGAACTGTTTGCTGGGTGCATTCGAAGGAACTGGCTTTGAAGGTGAAGCTATTGCCCCTGCTTCTGGCGTTGATACTGATGCCGACCCTGGAGTTGTTGATGTAGTTGACGCCATGATGTTTATTTTTTTATTTTTTTATTTTTTAAATGAACTCTTCTAGGCACACGATCCGATCATTCACCTTTTCTACAGAAAGAGGACAATGCTGGCGTTTGAGACTGCTTTAGAAATCACGTGATCACCCGGCCTTCGCCCAAAAGTTCAATCGCGTTTTTGCGAACGACTATCCCCTTCCGTCAACATTCCGGAGCTGGTTTTTTGAAACTGCGAGTCACTTTTCATTCTTAATCAAGAGTATCATAAAGATGGGCCTGCGCTTATGCAAACACCATCCTTGTGGCTCTTCAGTAGCAAAAACATCTGGATTGAGCAGATTCATCCACACCAGCGTCTTTAACCCCATATCACCTCCAAGGCTACATCTCGGGTTGAAAATCAATGGGATTATCCTCCATGCCTATCTTCATTTCAGCAGGAATGAAAATGTGTCTAACTGATTAACTTGTCTACTGTTATGTTTTGATTACAAGGTAAAAAGTAAGAGGCGTAAATCGCTGTGCCCTGGCGACATGACGCACAATGACAATATTGTTGCTATGTGCTGGCCGTATGCCGCTCAAGAATCCAAACCTTATTAGGGTTGGAATGCGTCAATGAGACACCAGCTAAGATCTAAGATGGGATCCCACAAACTAACCAAAAAAGAGACTACATATTACATATAACATATGCCATCTGGAGCTATCACTTGAATTGAATTAACACAGCTGCAGTTGTAATGAATATAAGCCGCCTGAAATTTCTAAGTCGACTATGACAATGAAATTAACTCGTTTATATTTTTTTCTTTTTTATTAATTATTAAATAGAATCTGGCACTTCAACGACGACGGGCAGCGGTTGGTGCCCAAGCCTGGGGCTGGAATGTATCTCCTTGTTGTACTGTGGGTTTGAATCCAGCTTTATTGAAGTTCATAGAGCAAAGAAAAAAGAGGGAAAAAAAAAAGATGTGGATGTCAATACAATTGTTATCATAAGGTTAAAATAAAACAGAACAGTTCACGCACTTCAACACACTAAATCGAGAGGTCACACTTACATTTACGTGCGGCTTCTCTTTCTTCTACTTGCTTCCTTGCTTCACTCTTTGTAGCCTCGTCCTGTGGCGGTAACTCTGATACAAATGATGATGGCGATGATGTTGAAGACGTTGATGTATTTGCATCCTGGATTTGACTACCGACACCTCTGGACGCAGCTGCTATGCCCAAAATAGTTTGCCGGTCCTGTGCTTGCTCCAACTGTAGCTCCTCTTTCCTGTCTAACCATGCTTGATCCAATGCTTTGGCGCGTGCAATCGTCAGTTTTTTCCGTGCCTCATCTCGTTGGATCTCTGCTTGTGTAGGTGGGCTCTGACGAGTGTTTCTCAGCCATGATTGCCATTGTACTGAGTAAGCAAAAAATAAAAATAAAAAAAGTCAGCATGCCGGCTTTTTAAACTTGTTCAAAAAAAAGCCTTTCTCTGTAGCCTTCTCATACCGGCAATATTGGCATCATCATAATTAGCTTCTGAGAGTTGGGGATCTGCCAATTCAACTGTTCTGCGAGGATATCTTCCACCTAAAAAAATAAAAAAAAAAAAAAAAAAAAAAGGAGGTATTCCAATTTGGTAAAATAGGAAAGAAGAGAATACATATAAGGGTCACAAATGACTTGGAAGTTCTTTAACGCTAACAGAGGAGGATCCTTTATAGTCTTAGTGAAGCAGCTGAACTAACGGCCGACTCCGAGGTTGACTCTGAGTTCTTTTTTTTTTTTTTTTTTTCTTTTTTTACCATTGGGATCTGGTTTTTCAAAGTACAGGTTGCCATCGAGATCTCTTCCTGCCAATCGTCTCCCGCCTCCTGGGGCAATAGCCTTAAGGGACAATGTAAGTCGTCGCATCAATGAAAGGTTCGACATTCTTTTTGCTTTTATTCAACGCTGATCCCAGCAAATAAAAGAAAGTAGCAAGTTGTATGCATTTGCTTGTCTTCGGAATCTCGGACCCTCTTTATTCGCATGCACTGAAGATCAGTGACTGCTTGCTGCTTGCGCAAGGTTGTTTTCCAGCCACTTGTGCTGTGCTAATTGATAATTGTGGTGTGGGCGTAAGAAAAAAGAGAGCGTTTTTTTTCCTTTTGTTTCTCCTGAACTCATTAACGCCATCAATTGAAGACTTTGCAATGAAGATTGGTATGATCATGAAACCAGTTCAGGTCTAGGACAGGCTTCAGTTTGAATACCAAAATTACAGCCATTGCATTTTAAATTATCTTATTAAAAAACTCTTCTCTTTACTGTAGTTTGTTTGCAGTTAGAACCAGTCTTGGGCAAGGTTCAGAGAAACATTGACCATGCGACCAAAATGATTGAGCAGTAATGACCGTTATCTACTATCTATCCACTTTTTTTATTCTTTTTTTTTTTTTTTTAAAAAAAAAAAAAGGTTACTGTCACCATAACAATTCTCTGGAAATTGATCAGACAATTCTACTCCCTCGTCTTTAAACCAATAATATCAATCAGCGTAGTCTGAAACCAGAAGACGTGGATGTGCTTGTTCTTCCAGAAATGGCATTCACAGGTACAGTACACGTAACATATGCCATAATACAACTCATATAGACGCTTTTGCAATGCGCTGTAGACTCTCCCACACATCAGCTGACTGTTCATTCCAATGGGCTATCTATTAGGATATGTCTTTACAAGCAAGGATCATATTCGGCCCTTCCTTGAGGATGCTGAGAACGGTCCTAGTGTATTATGGGCAAAATCTCAAGGTAAGAGGAGTTAGTCGCATTTAAATAATGTAACGGAATCAGGGATTTTTATCATTCTACTCAGCTACTTACATTGGTTTCTTAAATCATATGTATATGATATGTATGTAGCACAGCGCCTGAATGCCCATGTGCAAGTAGGCTACCCCGAAAAAAGAACCGTTACTAAGGATGGTCAAGCTATTGAAGAGTACTACAACTCCATTTGCTTTATCTCGCCTGCTGGTGCACTCCTTACGACATATGCAAAACATTTTTTATATTACACTGACGAAAATTGGGCTGAAGAGGGTCCTGGGTTCATGTCGATGCATGTAGATGGAATGGGCCAGGTAATAGCTTGTATATTTATAAAAAAAAAAACATGGAATGATCTTTACTTGATGGGGGAAACGATTTGTTCCGCATATAAATAACAAGTCTCTTTCATCCTTTTTTTTTTTTTGTCTTATTTCTCGCTGTCTATCCTAATCTTGCCTTTGGGGGGAGATCCATAGGTAGGCTTCGGTATCTGTATGGACGTGAATCCATATCGATTCAAGGCGGATTTTTCAGACTACGAGTTTGCAACGTTTCATTGTGATAAGAGCTCTCAGTTAATACTTTGCTCCATGGCTTGGAACTCTGGCGAGGAGGCGCCTAAAAAGGAGAAGAAGACCCCACCATCGCGAAAGCCCGATGGGGACTGGGAGGTTGAAGGTGATGATAAAGAGGAATGGGAAGATATAGAGGAAGAGGAAGAGGAAGAGGAAGGAGAAGAAGAAAAGGCAGAAATGCTAAAATATCATACCATCAAATACTGGGCGGTGAGAATGGAGCCGTTTTATGAGAAGTCATTAGCAAATATGCCCAATAATGAGGCATATGTCGTGATTGCAAACAGGATCGGAATAGAGTCTGGTATGTTTAAGCTCGAATGTGTAAAAATGCATGTTTCTCTTTCAAAACATAATGACAATAATAATAACAATAATAATAATAATAATAATAATAATAATAATAATAATAATAATAATAATAATACTAGGTAATATGTTTGTGGGAAGTTCTTGTGTTCTTAAGCTAAAGGCATCAGGACCTGAATTGATGGGAGCACTTCCAGCCAACAAAGAGGGTCTACTTCAAGTCGACATCTGATCTTTTCCCCTTGTATCCCCAAGCTCAACCCCAGATCGTTCGTTAATAGGATATATAGACCTCTATACTATGTAACCATGTCTTATCGAGACTAGCCCTCGCTTGATATAAAAAATATATTATATACACAACATGACCCGACTTAATTATATAGCCTGATACCAATTCTATGGATAGGATACTGGACATCGTTGAGGAAGGAAGCACGCATTGCTTTACACCTCTTTTTTTTTTTTTTTTTTTTCCATTCTTGTAAAAAAAAAAAAAGAAAAAGAAAAAGAATGAAAAAAGAGTATCGCATCATACCAATCAATGAGTTGAGGAAAGCAAAAGTATATGTATAACATACACTTCATGATCATAAGCCATATTAGCAGAAATAGTATAGAGTCGCTGCATACGTTGGTCGTACAGGCGCTTACCCTCGAAATTTACCCATGAGCTAGCCTGGTATGTTCGAGGAAGCAACACCAGTTAGCGAACGATTTGAAGTGATCGCAATGTTTTGAAGATTATACTATATATATATTATTATATATAATACTATTATTGTTTTAGTTATTCAAAATACCTTTTGAATGGGGAATAGTTGATGCCAGTGGATTTATTTATGTCGAGATAACAATAACTGACGTCTATGCGGCGATGTTGACTTTATTGCTTCTGTCGAGTGACAATAGTGGCTCGTACGATGAAGTTGGTATTAATTCACAAGTGCCTTTTTTTTTTCCTATTTGGGCTAAACACTCAATACATGGACGTTTCGTTGTGATTGAAAGTTTGTATTGATCTCTTTAAGCTCAACTGGAGCACGATCAATGCTCGCCTCCTCAGGGAGGAAAGGCTTTGCTACTTGTTCAGAGAAAATGTGAATAGTAAAAAAACCAAAACCATGCTAGGGAAGCAGGCTGTGTAAAGCCTTGAGTGAATTTAATACAACTCAGCAATACGAAAAAAGAGTGATGAAGCAGGATAGAATTCTATTGTTAATTAATATCGACCGAGTGTAGCTTTCGGAGATCTTTCAATATGACTCTTCTGAGCCTGCAGGGATAAACTATAGACCAACAAAGTAGCTAATATTATAACCATTACAGCCATAACAGCCATAATATATATATATATATATAATATTATATGCATGTAATACATGTACATACACTTTATGCACCCATGCATGTAGGCACGCGTTCCCATGAGGGCGTTCCCTATCGCAAATTAGAGTGACAATTAGCTCGACAAATAGGCAACGTTCCAGTCCAAAGTAGGAGAGCACAATCATGGGATTTTTCAGAGTTGAAATTTTACTTGCCCTGCTTGCTAGATCGAGGGGATCCAAGGGAAGGACTGACAGAAGTTTGGCCATACCATGCGTAAAATAAAATGAAATAATAATAGTAATAATAAAAAAGAGCGCCCTCTCTTTTTTTTTTTTTTCTCGCAATGAATGGACCTTCCGCATGGATCGTTTATTCCCAGGGACCTTTTTACTTCTCGGCTTTATAGCCGAAGAATTCCCGAGAACTGCGATGACTTAATAGGTTAGAACAAAAGGTCATGGATCTATTAGAAATGGTGCAAAATATGCATGAAAATGAACAAACCTGTGCTTCAGACGAAAACTTTACATCCGCCGTTCTCAACTGATCTGATTTTGCTGAAAGCTGTAGCCTTATCACTTCATTGAAGAAAATGGTAAAGTAAAGGAAGGAACGGTAACAACATCATTAGTACAGCTTCGTATCTACCATGTGATCACTGCGTCCATGGTAGAATACATTCAATAATGAGGAATGTACAAAGATAACTGCCATGCAGCCATACAGCCATGCTCTTTTGAGAGAGTGGAATCTCGTTTTGGATATTAAGAGTGTGGGCGGAGGTTTATTTATCCCTCAAGATTTGTCCATACGAGAGCAAATGCCCAAAAAAAAAAAAAAAAAAAATTGAACTCTCTTATTCTGACACAGGAACCTGTCCGATTCGCTTATTTTGAGCCATCTCTTTCTCTCTCTTTTTTCTCTAATGGACATTGACTAGTCGGTGCGTTTATCAAGGGTATACATGTGCATTGTCTTTTTCAATTCCCGGCTATGTTCTCGACAAATTCAATGTGGCATGAGTAATAATGAGCAAGATTGCTAACGAATAGAATGCCTGTTTGGCATTTAATACTTTATAATCATCTGCTTAAAGCACCAAGAAATAAAAACGTATACATGTAGCTGCTAACCTGCCAGCTTCCATAATATGAATGTGGTAAAGAACTTTCGATCAACCGCTGATGTAAAATGGTAAAAAGTAATCAATATGTTTATTTATGTTGTTGTTCTTGAGAATAGAGCATAAGCATTATTAATGAGGAGGCATCATCTTTTTTTTTTTTCCCCTCCCGGAAAAAGTCTTTTTGTAAACAACGTCTGTCAACATGCATATTATAAAAAATATCCTATTGAACATAAAACTATAAAGGAGTACGTAAACAAACAAAGTTTCATTCATTATTACTAGACTATTGATCGTTTCGTAAGGAATCCAGGGGATTGGAGGAGCCACCATCTACATTCACTTTCTCTCTTTTTTTTTTCGCCCCCTCACATGATGATGAATGAAGGAAATGGGTCAGTAACTAAAAAAAAAAAGCGGTAGCCAATGTGCCTGGCAGCTTTTCACTCCTTTTGCTTCTACAGCTACAATTTGATGATGTTCTATATCCGAGGTGATCGAGCGGGTTCTTCATAATGTCTCCTCTCCCAAGAGACGAATAATAGGGCAAAGTTAAGTAAAAATAAAAATATGCAAATCGGATCCATTTCCCATCGTCGTGTGTGTAACATATGCTAGTCCAGCCAATTCAAATGCATGCCATTGAAACAAAAGTTTTGGCCCAAGTGGAGAGTAAGCTGTCCAACCAACCAGGCTCAATTATCCTCTTTTGGCCAACGCTTGACCCCCCCATTTTCTTTTTTTGTCATTCAACCAACTAAACAACAATAAAATGTCGCTCTGCATCCAAATCCACTGGCATGACCCCATTCTGGAGCAGTTTAGTATAAAAGAGTCCTTGACTCCCCTTGAATCCCATTCTTTTTTTCCTTGTCTCAGCACCATCCTCTAATTCAACACTCTCCCTCCCCCTTCTCTACTCTCCTTTGGGACAGAGCAAGTCCAAGGATAACTCTCAACGATACCCATCCTTACTACTCTTTACATACTCCATCTCTTTTTCTTTCTTTCTCTCATTCATTAACGTATACACAATGTCTGTTCAAAAGACAGAACACAACGCGGAGGAGTTTATCGACGAGAAAATCGATCTTGAACAATCCTCTGTCATCCTGGAGGAGGAAGAGAACTCCCCTATCCCTGAAGTTGCTGCCATCGTCTCCAACAAGGATGATCCCACCACCCCTGTCATGACCTTCCGTTACTGGGTCATGGCTGTTATCTTCTCCATCATCCTTTCCTTCTTCAACCAGTTCTTGTAAGTCTTACTCACTTCTGGCATTCATCATGTCCTCGACCTTGCCCCACTCTCCTCACTACACTGAATTCGATTCTCATAATGTGATGCATTACTTTCTTTTTGTTTTTTTTTTTTCCTACAGCGCGTTCCGTACCAACCCCATGACAATCTCTACTTTAGTCATCCAGCTTTTGTCTTACCCATTCGGAAGATTTTTGGCTGCTGTGCTCCCACACGGTCGCCTTAACCCTGGTCCTTTCAATATCAAAGAGCACGTCCTGGTCGCCTTGACTGCTAACTGTGCTGCTGGTACTGCCTATGCTGTCGATATCACTGTAATTCAAAAGGTCTTCTATGGTGAGGACTTTGGTTTTCTTGCCAACTTCCTTCTCATTCTTTGCACTCAAATACTGGGTTATGGTATGGCTGGTGTTCTCCGTCGTTACCTCGTCTACCCTGCTGCTATGATCTGGCCCGCCAACTTGGTCCAGGTTGCTCTTTTCAACACTCTTCACAAAGAGGAGGATCTCAAGCCTGGCCAGTGGACGCGCTTCAAGTTCTTCTTGGTCGCAACTGGCCTTATGTTTTTGTACCAGTGGATCCCAGGTTTCCTCTTCCCTGTCCTCAGCTCCATTGCCTGGATTTGCTGGATCAAGCCTGATAACTTGGTTCTCTCCCAGCTCACTGGTGCCGGTGGTCTCGGAATTGGTGCCATCTCCCTCGACTGGAACAACATTGTTTCCTTCTTGGGTTCACCTTTGATCGTCCCTTGGTGGGCTCAGGTCAACATTGCTCTCGGTTTCTTCATCATTGCCTGGGTTATGGTTCCTATTGCGTACTACACCAACCTCTGGGAAGCCAAGAAGTTCCCTATCCTTACTCCAGCCTTATTCACTCGAGATGGTCAAGAGTATGACACACAACAGATTCTCACTAATAACGTCTTGGATGATAAAAAGTACGAGGAATATGGTCCTCTTCGTATCTCGACCTTCTTTGCCTTGACCTACGGTATCGGTTTCGCTGGTCTTGCTTCTATGATGACCCACACCTGGTTGTACCACCGCCACAAGTTGGTTGCTCAGTGGAAGCAATCTCGCGATCACACTGAGGACATCCACCACAAGTTGATGCAGGCTTATCCTGAGGTTCCTGACTGGTGGTATGCTGCTCTCTTCATCACCATGACTGCCATTGCGATCATCACTTGCGAGGTCTGGGACTACAAACTTCCATGGTGGGGTGTCATTTTGGCCGTTGCTCTCTCGGCCATCTTTTCTCTTCCTGTTGGTTTGATTCAAGCCATTACCAACCAGCAACCAGGTCTTAACATCATCACAGAATACGTTATCGGCTATATCCTTCCCGGTCGTCCCATCGCTAACGTTACCTTCAAGACCCTTGGTTATATCTCCATGGCCCAGGCTATGACTTTTACATCTGATCTCAAGTTGGGTCACTACATGAAGATCCCTCCACGTGCCATGTTCTGGGCACAGCTCCTCGGAACCGTTATTGCAGGCCTTGTCAACTTGTTGACTGCCAACTGGCTGTTGAGATCACAGAAGGATATCTGCACAGAGAAAAACCATCTGTTCTCTTGCCCTTCTGCCAACACTTTCTACTCAGCCTCAGTTATCTGGGGTGTCATTGCTCCTGATCGCATGTTTGGTCCCACCTCCATGTACAATGCCATCAACTACTTTTTCCTGATTGGTTTTATCCTTCCTATCCCATTCTACTACCTCAAGAAGGTCATGCCCAACTCATTCCTCGAATACGTCCATATCCCTGTCTTGTTGGCTGCCACAGGAATGATGCCACCAGCTCAGGCTTATCATTATACCAACTGGTTGGCTGTTGGATTCGCCTTCCAATTCTTTGCTCGTCGCTATCATCCAGAGTGGCACTTGCGTTTCACATATGTGTTATCTGCAGCATTTGATTCTGGCGTAGCATTCATGGTCCTGGTCTCGTTCTTTGTCTTTACAATCCGTGATGCCACCATGGTTGAATGGTGGGGTACTCGCTATGATCTGTGCCCATTGGAGGGTCAACCCTACTATCCCCCCACAGAACCAGCACCAGCACCAGCACCAGCAGCATAGTTCATATTTCTTCTTTTTTTTTTTTTTTTACCGTTCATCGTGTATAGTTTTATCATATTATTAAAGTAATTTTCTTGTAATTGTCAATCAACTTGTAAAATTTTTTTTTGACTATGTTCTGGGCAAGGCAATGTTTGAGAATGGTCATTTGCACTAATGCCCTGAAGAAAAGGTTATCTCTTTTTTATTGCCACCAAAAACACAACTGTGGCTGCAAAAAGCGCGCCTTGAAGTCAAAACCTTAAAAGAAAAAGAAAACATCTTGCATTCAATTCAAAAAAAACCCAACCCAGCATTTTAATTAAACAGGAAGTAACAACAAAGGAGGCAGGGGAGGGACATTATTAATTATTACCATTATTTTATAATTGTCCTGAGGATGAACAACTTTCGTCAATCAGTAGCAGGTCGTTCAGGATCGAGCATTCCTCGACCTGCTAGCAGTCTCGGTGTCAGTGTCCAAAAGCCCATGAACAGCAGCCATCAACGTGTCACTGGTAATACTGCAGCCAATGAAGCATATCATTTCCCACTTCTCAGACCTCAAGCGATCGTGTCCATCCTAGCAGACATTCAAATCTCGTGGACGGAAGAAGAACTTGCACGACCAACACCTCAAAAGATGTTACTTGTCTACGAGGCCTTTCTTGACATTACAACAGAATCCTCAAGAGATGACTGTTCACTAGAAGATATTCAGGATATGGAAATCACTAGCTATCCGGTAAAAGAGGAGATAATAATAATAATAATAACAAAATTGACAATATCTAAAGTCGTGTTAAGGGATTTACATCTGACTATCATTGGCCATTTTTTATTTTATTTAGGAATTTGTTATCGATGCTGTCCGCTTTTACATTTTTTTATATCAACTGTATGTCATCGTCGTCAGTACGCTTTTTTTTTTTTTTTTTTTTTTTTTTTTTTGATACCCTGGAATGAATGCTTCGAGTGGACATATTCAGATCAGATTAATTGACTAGTATATATATAATATGCATGCATGTATGCCTGTATCCCTTTTTTTTTTTTTTTTTTTTTTTTTTGGCTTTTGGCTTTTGGCTTTTGGCTTTTGGCTTCTGGATAGTACGAATATGATGTACGATGTTGGAATACCCGACTTCTCATCAAAGGATCTTATGAGGCCAGAGGCAGAACGCGTTCGTCGAGTGTTGAGTGCAGTGATCAACTTTGCAAAATTTAAAGGAGATCGGCAGGGACCAGTTTTTGAGAAATTACAACCGTCGGATCAAATTATTGGTATGATCCCGGAATCTGAAAAGGAACATCAACAATTGTCAGAGGAAATTGAGATCCTGAGGTACATTGAAAAGAAGAAGAAGAAAAAAAAAAAAAAAAAAAAAAAAAAAAGATCATGTACATATGTATCGATTCCCATTTTATCTGATTTTTTTTTTTTTTTTTTTTTTTTTTTTCACTACCAGACAGCGGAAATTGGCACAAGAACCAAAGGTTGAGGAGCTCAAAGTTATAAATCAAAATTTGGCACAGGAACTAGAGGCACTTAAAAAGCGCGAGATTCAGACCACACAGCTAAAGGATGAAGCTATAAGTGAGAGACATGCCCTAGTAGAACAGAACGTAAAGGCTTTTTTTTTTTTTTCTTATGAAGGTGTTCCAATTTAGTTGTCATTTACCAACAAGGTCTTTTTTTTTTTTTTTTTTTTTTTTTTTTGTGCTGTTGAATATATAGAAAGAACTCAACGCAGCTGTGGAGAAAGCTAGCAAAGAGTTGGAGATATTGAGGGGAGAGCTTGCTCATGTACCCGACACATTGGAACCTGAACTTGCTCAACTTCCAGAATCTATTCAATCTCTGATTACAAAAGTAGAACAACATCGTCGGCAAGTCCAGAGTCATTACGCTATTGTGGAACGGATAGAGTCCATCCCACGAGAGATGTCTACGATTTTAGAAATCATGAATGATACGATGGGATTGTTGGACACGTTATCACAAGAGATCTCACAGATGGACTCGATTAAATCTCAGATTGAGAGACAAAAGCTAGAAGTCTCCACATTGGAGACAAAGCTGGGACAGAACGAACGACAGACCAAAGGTTTGGAGAATAAGATCGCAATCCTTCGTCAGAATCAACAACAACGACGGATTCAACAAGAACCTGAGATGGCAGAGCTGGAGAAGACAGAGTTGGAGATTGAGAAGAGGCTGTTGGAGAATCGAAAGCGGTTGGAGAAAAGGCAACAGAAGCATGCGGAGCTTGTTCAAAGGGAAGAGAAGTTTGCTGAAGATACCACGGCTGTGTGGAAGCAACTGAGGCATCAGTTTGGGAAGTACTCAACAGAGATCCTTCAAGCGACAAAGAAAACTTAGTTTTTTTTTTTTTTTTTTTTTCTTTTCTTTTTTACTTTATGTTATTATTATTATTATTATTATTATTATTATTATCATCTTTTTTTACCTTTCCTCTTCTCCCTCTCCAACATAATCCTAACTACATCTCCATGCTGTCCTATATCTTTCTCCTGTCGTTAATTACCCATCTTTTCCAAATAACTCCTCCTTATTAATTGTGTATTAATAGTCAAGTCAATTTTTTTTTTTTTATTCAATATGTATTGTTAAACCTATTTACAAAATATTTTGTCAATTATCACTTAAAAAAAACTTTTTTTTTTTCTCCATTTACAAGCGCTGCTTGCCCTTGTCATTGGAATGGTTGTGGTGGTGACGGTGCAAAAGTCGATGAATAAATCCATGATGTTCTTTTTGATCGCCATGACTGTCATTACTACTATCAGTCGTGTCATTGTTATCATCATGGTGGTTATTGTTGCCCACTCTGTGTGTAGTAGCGGTGGTAGCATCACGGGTGGTGTTGTGCGTATTGGGTGCCAAACCCGCCTGTTGATGACCATGACCAACTGCATCCCGGTTGTTATCATCATTATCATAGTAATTGGTGGTCGTCGTAGTCTTCATCCAACCAACTTCTTCACCTGGATGGACCTGAGGAGTTCCCTTGTAGGACAGTGGTGGAACTGCAGTCGCATTGGTAGTACCAGAGGCGATATGAATGTTTTGACCGTGATCGCCATCATTATGTGCAGTGCGTATATTGGTGTTGTATGTGTTGTTAGTATGATGACCCTGATCGTTTAGGTTGGTGCCAGTGGTATTTGCAGGGGTGATGTTTGGTGCTGCTGCCGCCGACGTCGCATGGGGCATCATGGAGGCTCCGGTGGCTGTGGCGGTACCCATAGCGCCAGAACCAGAAAGCTTGTTGAGAGTGCTAGAAGGTGCTTCATGCTTGTCAGTATGAACTGTGGATGAAGGAGCTGTAGCATATGTTGTAGCTGAAGGGGCCGCAGTGTGTGCAGTGTGTGCAGCAGTTGTGGTTGGGGCGGGGACTGGAGCATGTGCTGGCTCGGGGACTGCAGCGTGCCTAGCAGTTGATCCAAGAGCTGCAGCGTGCGTGCCAGCTGTGAACGGGGCTGTACCATGTGTGGCGGTTGTAGATGGAGCAACTGCGTGCTTGGCTGCGGAGGATGGGGTTGAACCGTGTGTAGCAGCTGAGGATGGGACTGAGCCATATGTGGCAGCTGAAGATGGGACGGCTGCGTGTTTGGTTGCTGAAGATGGGACGCCAGTATGTGAATCGGCCGCTGAAGCATGAACGTTGCTGGGCTTGATAGCCTCCTTTGCGCTGACGCCAGCAGTTGGGCCAGCAGCAGCAAGACCTAGAGCCTTGGGATCGGTCAACTTGAGGTTTTTGGGGTCTGCAGGGCCGTATTCAGAAGAAGGATGAATAGAATCCTTCACCTTGTCAGCCACTCCATGGTGATGGGTCTCAGGAGCGATAGGGACAGTACGGGTACCAGTAGTAGGCTGAAGAGTCTTGGTGTCAGTGAAGGCCTGTCTCTTTGAGTCTGCACTCGTAATGTCATTGCTAAAAGTCGTAGGCTTGTGCTGCGAGACGGTAGTTGCGGCCGGGACGCTAGGCTTGGCGCCCTCCCTGGCACTAACGCCAGTCGCTGCACCCGTTGTTGTCGCATGGCTTAAACTCTTGGGGTTAGTCAGATCAAGGTCCTTGGGATTTGCAGGGCCATACTCAGAAGAGGAGTGCATGGCGTCCTTCACCGTATCAGTCAATCCATGACGGTGGGTCTCAGGAGCGATGGGGACAGTGCTGGAATCATTATGGGCTCTAGCATCAGTGTTGACTCCAGTGGAGTGGATACCCACAGTATCCTTGATCTTCTCGGTTATAGGACGAGAATCGTTATGTGCTTTAACATCAGCGCTAGCAGTGTTGGCTCCAGTGGGATGGATACCTACGGTCTCCTTAATCTTCTCAGTCATAGGACGGGAATCATTATGTGTATCAGCACTAGCGGTGTTGGCTCCGGTGGTATGGATGCCAACGGTCTCCTTGATCCTTTCAGTCATAGGACGAGAATCACTATGTGCTCCAGTATCAGTGCTAACGGTGTTGGCTCCGGTGGGATGAATACCTACGGCCTCCTTGATCTTCTCGGTCACAGGACGAGAATCGTTATATGTTTTGACGTCAGTGCTAGCGGTGTTGGCTCCGGTGGAATGGATGCCTACGGTCTCCTTGACCCTCTCAGTCACAGGACGAGATTGCTCAGTGGTAGTGTTGGTGGTGGTGGTGGGCTGGATACCTACAGCCTCTTTGAATTTCTCAGTCATGGTATGAGGCTGGGGTTGGGGTTGGATGCCTACAGTCTCTTTGAACCTCTCAGTCATGGTATGAGGCTGGGGTTGAATGCCTACAGCTTCTTTGATCTTCTCAGTCACGGGACGGGGAGCAGGTTGGATTCCTACAGCTTCCTTAATCTTCTCAGTCACGGGGCGGGGAGCAGGTTGAATACCTACAGCTTCTTTGAACCTCTCGGTCACGGGTCGAGACTGAGCAGATTGGATGCCTACAGCTTCTTTGGCTCTTTCGGTCATAGTCTGGGGCTGAGGTTGAAGACCAACAGCCTCTTTAATCTTTTCAGTCACTGGACGGGACTGGTCATGCGTCGTATCCTTTTTACCACTCAAGTAAGCAGCAACCTCAGAAGCTTTTTCAGCAATCGTATGAGTGGCAGTGGTGAGGGGCGCAGCATGCTCAGTATCTGCATGCTTGTTGTCATGAGTTAGTGCGGGGACTTCGGCTGCTTTACTAGGTGCAACCTCAGTTGGCTTGAAGACATCACGCTCCATGTGTCCAGTGACAGGAGCAGCTGCCGCAGCTGGAGTAGTATGTATGCTTGAAGGCAAATAGGCGGAATGTTGAGTAGCTCTAGGAGGGGTTGTCCTATCTACGACTCCGCTGTCGACAGATTTAATCTTGTCAGAATCAAGCAGAACTGATGTGCCAGCGCCAGCTGAATCATAGGGGTGCATGGTCCCTAATATAGCGGATGCGGATGCGGTGTTGTATTTGGCTGGAAGTGCACCCTCGGATGAATGCCCGGTGCGGGCATGCTTGGCAGCATATTCTTGTTGATCCAGCAACACCTGGGCGCTGGTGAGAGCATACTGGTGCGTATTATCCTGGGGGACCTCGGGAGTGGAGAAGACATGCATTATATTCTTTTTGACCTTGTCAATGAGAGATTCTTGATGTAGATCAGCACTATCGCTAGAAGCAACGGTGTCGTCACCAGCAGTCTTTGGAGCGACGGCTGTGCTGGGGATATAATCATTAGTGGTAGTCTGGATTGGATGCTTCGTTTCCGAAGATGCCTAAGTAATGGATGGTAACAACAGTAATGATAAGACAAATGTTAACAATTTGCATCATGAATGAATGCACAATATCCCCCATTTCTACATTCTATCCTTAATAAACACCTACCTCCATTGTTATTTCGCTGGAGACATTCTTGTCGTCCTTCCAGTTAAAGGCTTTGGTAGGGGGACGATCACTTTGACCGAGAGGCCTCTCACCCTCTGCATTACTCTGCGGAAGCTCAAGACCTTTGTTGTTAAAATGACGGTCACTGAAGCCGAGAGGCTTTCCGCTCACTACAGTACTCTGTGGAAGTTCATGGCCTTTGTCAAAAGCCTTGACAGGAGGACGATCACTGGGTCCAAGAGGCCTCTCGTTTTCTGGCTCAAAGGCAGGAAGGACGGTGCTCTTGCTTTCATGTTGGGAATAGGTATTGTTGTTGGTGACTTGATCATCTTGATGACTCAACCTCTTCTTTGCAGCAGCAATGACAGAGGCGCCTGCAGATGCAGCAATGCTGGCAGCGGTCGCAGCGGTACTGGCAGCAGTGCTGGCAGCAGTTACAGCGCCTGCCTTGACCGATTCAGAGAGTGAAGGATGCTGAGCATGATCAACCTTATTTTCAGAGGTACTGAACGTGTTATTGTCCTTGGTATTGGCACTGTCGACCAAGTGTTCCTTCGCCAATTCGATCTTGCGGCTGTCATAAGGGGTGGGGGCTCCTCCGACAGTGATACCAGCAACAGCATGAGTGGAGTCATGAGGATTAACCACGTTGGTAGCTCTCATGGCAGTTGCAGCGGGGGTCTGGCGAGAATCGGCGGTAGCGCCGAGTATGTTGCTATTGTTACTGTTGCTAGCGAGGTGAGAAGCATCATCGCGGCCTGTCTTATAAGCGCCAGGCATGTTAAGTCTGTCTTCGTCGCGTTGCATTGCTGCCTTCTTTTTCTTTTAGTTCAGGCTAAAGCTAGTGTAGGGAGATTGTTCGAGGGGTGTTGGAGGATACGAGCTGTGATGAACGGTGTGATGTTATAATGTGCAACTATTAGTAAGGGGAGGGAGTAGGTTTAGCTATTTACAATGGTGTACGAGAGTAGTAAGCAAAGTGTTGTGATTTTAAAGAGATTGAAGTGTGGACAAGAAACAAGTTTCTTTTTCGTTGACCACCTGCAATATTTATCCTTTTCCAAGAAGTTGCAAATCGTTACATACAAAAAAGGTAATAGAAAAGGCGATGAACAAAGCGCTTTATTTTTTCTTGGTCTATTATGAATTCCTATTACGTCTGATGGATGGAAGAACAGAGAAATTTATAAATAATGAATGAAACAGATAAAGGTCAAAAGTGCGATGTTTCTGCTTGAGCTGACCTCATTACTTGGGAAGAAAAGACGCGACTAGCCAGACTACGATGTGCACACACACTTGTTCTTACCTATCAGAGCACGGCCTTTCGTTTTAAATGTTAATGCAAACTTTACTCGAGTATGGATCATCCCATCATAGACCATTAAGGTCAATATATCCAGTCCAATGGCGTATAACTCACCTCATTGTGCCGTCAGTTTGAAATTTTCATCCGCATCATTAATTGACGTCGCAATTACGCATCTTTTTAAATAGTCAGATTTATCATTTTTCTTCCTCTGTGCTTTGACCAATGTGAGTCTTGATGTTAAAAATGCTGCTCGTCACTACCGGAGACTTAAAGGAAGCTCTTGCATATTGACATTCTGCTAGGCATGGAAATACTCACATTGGTTGTGTATATTTATATTTTTTTTTTGATGCGAAGATCTGTTGGTGCCCCGACTTTTTTGAATTTTTTATGTTTCTTCTATCCAGGCAAGAGCCATTTCTGATCGCACCACGTGATTCGAAGAGAAGGAAGGCAGGGAAGAGTGCTCCGAGTGAGAAACTCGTGCTATTTTTATTATCCACCCTTCATTTCGTTGAACTCACCATTGCTAAAAAAAAAAAAAAAAAAAAAAAAAAAAAGACACGTCAATGGGAGAACAACAGGTCAAGCAGCGTAATGCGAACAAGAGCAAGAATGGTTCCTCAGAGAATGTTCAAGAGAGATCTCATTTTGAAAAGGCAAAAACATCAACTCGAGGAAAACAGGCCGGCTTGCAGCAATCTATTGTCCAGGGAGCTCTTCTGTTTATTCTGTTCTTCTTCTTGTCGTCCTACCTAGTCACAGACACATGGTTATGGGGATATAATGGAAAATATTCTAATTGGCGTCAATGGGTCCCTGTAATTTGTCTACAATATGTGATTGAAGGTTTGCCTTGTTCTAAAACGTAACCTGCATTATCCAAGTAGGACCTTTTTTTTATTTTAATTTTATTTTTTATTTTTTTCATCCATGTAGCGGAGGCAAATTGTCCTTACACAGAAGAAGTTAGCACAGTATGATGGGACAGATCCGACAAAGCCAATTTACTTGGCTGTCAAAGGGGAGGTTTTTGATGTGACTGCAGGTCGTCCATTCTATGCCAGAGGTGGAGGATATGGTTTCTTCTCTGGACGAGATGCATCGCGTGCATATGCAACGGGTTGTTTCCAAACACATCTCACACATGACCTTAGAGGACTCACCCCTCAACAGCTTGCGGTATCGTGGATATTTCCAAGACACGTCTTTAATCCATCAATTTCTATTATCCCCTTTTTGTGAAATGCTAATCAAATTACCATGTACCACTAAACATTGCAACATATTAGGATGTTGATGGCTGGGCCAAATTCTATCATAACCATGCAAAGTATTTCAAGATTGGTACAGTGATACTGGACCCTATTGATCCAGACTCCCCGTTGCCTGAGGATTGTCACAAGCCGGTTGAACAAAAACCTGCATCGACTTGAGGAGTCATCACTGTAGTTTGTACAAAATTTAATACATTTTCCATTAAAAAAAAATAAAAAAAAATAAAAAAATAGGTATCTTTGAATGATTTGTCAGTGAATAGTTTGCCAGTAAAGAAGTGTGATAATCTAATGTCAGCAACTTTTCAATATTCTATTGTCATGTAGAGTGTCATCTCGTATCTTAGCTAAAAATGATCAGTTTATTCTATCCTTGATTGGTAGCGACACTTTCAGCCTCCTTGATATTCTCTTTGTCCTTTGTGTACATCTCAGTCGCCTCCTTTTCGATATTCGCGTGCTGAAAAAAAGGGTTGAATATGCACAGTAATACATGATTCAGTCCTGGACCAGGTCCGGCAGGAGGCATTGCATTTGAAGCAATGTCACCATAAGAATTTCTGACGAAATTCTCTGTCGTGATGTTGACTATGCCCCCTTTTGATGATTGTCAGGCTCTCTCCTATTTTTCATTCTATACCATCGCCGCCTCTATTGCCAAGTATAAAAGCCACGCGAAGAGAAAATCCACCACCTAGAGTCCTTGTTAGCATCTCAATCCTACACACATTAGGGCCTATCTAATACAGAAACTTGTACACTTTCCTTCAACATGATCAGGTCAATAATCGCCTTGAGTGCTGTTGCACTGTCTGTGATCTCTGCCCAGAGCCCAGAGACCGCCAGAAATATCTCATTCACACAACCTGTGGGTGAAGGCATCTCTTATGTCGCTGGTACAGATCAGACGCTCTCTTGGTCGGCAGCCTGTATACGCCCTTCAGCTCTAATCTCTTCCTCGCCCGCCGAAACTCAGGTTGATTTCATGGATGCGAACAGTGTCATCAATACATTCTACGTCAAGAGAGTCGGTACGATCGATTGCTCGAAACCCGTCGGTAACATGGTCTGGACCGTCCCTGCAGACACCAAACCCGGTATCTACGCTCTCCGGTTGTTCTTGATGCCAGACAGTGTGTACTCGGGTCGCTTCAATGTTACGTCTCCCAATGGATCGACTGGAGGAGCTGGTGGATCGCGTTCTCCAAAGGCTGCGGATGTTGGTGTTACAGGTTTAACTGATCACAGTGCTGGATCTGGATCCTCAACGAGTACAATGTTTGATCGCAAGACGAGCAGCATGATTGTTATCGGTGCGGGTATAATCGCAGCCCTCGTATTTTAGGAAAAAAAGAAAAAAGAAAAAAGAAAAAAGAAAATAGTCGCATAATTCTGAACATAAAGCGTTTAATCTACTACTTACACCTATTCAAAGGCCTATTTTCACTGTTTGCATATTTTTGATTTGTAAGTCCTCTCAGGATGGTGACGAGACTAAATCCTCCTGTCCTTGATATGCATGCAGGAGCACAATTGTCAAGCCATGATAATTCCTATTGCTTGAATTTTTGTGACTGGAGGGTGGTCATGCCACGTATTTAATTAAATTGGGCTGAGCAGTGATGTATGGAATTTCTAGATGGTTGGTGTGTGGCGAAATGTTCCATTGATGGTGTCAGTTTGTTTTGCTGCCCGAAAATAGGCATAGGACAACATTCGGCCACGTTGAACAAAACAAAAAAAACTAGTTCATAATCTACTAAGGTACCCTTAAGTGATGAACCATAAAATAAGCCCTTTATCTCTTTTTTTTTTTTTCTTTCTTTTTTTCTCTTCATCACCTCTCTTTTGCTGCCACGAATCTACTTTCTACTGCTGCCAACACTTCTCTTTATTGTTACGTATTCTTTATAAAAAAATTCCTTCTTGCAATACTCTTTTCCCTTTTCTGTATATAAACCTTTTCAATCGTTCTTCTGTCCGGGCCATCATGTTCTCGACAACAACCTCTTGTTTGCCACACATGATGGCCCATGCCTCTTCAGCTGATGTTCCCCACAACAGTGAAGTGTCCACCGCAGACCTGGACAGCGAGGCATTCGTGACAATCCCTTCTGCAACCCCCTCTTCTCCCTCACTTTTCTCCACCACAACTGAAAACATGCAACTCGACATGCTCACTCATTTGTTGGAGGCCCATAATAACTCCGCAGCTACTACCGACAGGAACTGCGCCACCGATGACCCTTCAGCCATCCTTCTTTCAGACCCAAGTGTCATCGCCATGGCTTCTCCCTCTTCTGTCTGGACCACATCCCCTTCTATCAGCCCTATGCTCCTTAAGCTCGAGTCCCCAGTGCTCACTAACCCTGACAGTACTCAGAGATCTGCCAGAATTAAGACCAAAAGTAAGAGCAAGAGCAAGACCACTGCCACAACATCATCCTCGACTTTGACTGCTGTTAATACCAGCGGAAGGAAGAGAGCAGCGGTCGATCCTATTGAAAAGGAAGCCAAGGTTCGCGAGCGTGTACTTCGAAACCGCGCCGCGGCTCAGGAATCCCGAGATAAGAAGCGAAAGTATGTGGCCGACATTGAAGCCTCGAACGAGTCTCTTCAGCAGGAGAATGCCCAGTTGTTGAAACGACTCAAGACAGTCGAAAGCAATAATTTGGAGCTCTCTCAACGTCTTGAGGCTCTCACGGCGCAGTTTGCACAGATGCAACAACTCCTATCACAGTCCATAAAGCACAACAACCCATCCGGAGTCGGCTTTTGCCAGGTAAAAACTTTATTCATTATTCTATCTATCCATCCATTCACCCATCCACCCATCCACTCATCCATTGATCGATCCAATTATTATTATGTCGTGGTGTTATTGTCTTTGTTTATCGCATAACCATTGACTTTTTTTTTTTTTTTTTTTTTTTTTTTCTTTTCTCTCTTCATGGTCATAATAGTCTGCAGTACTGGCAAAGGAGGACAAGAAATCTCATTCTAGAGGTACCTTGACCAACTCTCTGCAGCAGAAGCTGGCTCCACAGAAAAACCTTCACAGTACGATTTCCAAAGTGGGACAACCCAACAAACACGGAAAGGTCTATTCGATGACGATGATGAACTCGATGAGCAAGGAGAGATTTCTGAACAGGGAAGCCCGTTGGTTGAATCAGAGTGCAACTCAGAACAGGATGGAGATCAGCTGTCGGCCCTTTTGCAACAATCGTCGCAATCGGACCTTGACGCTCTCCTCCTCTGCAGTAGCCTCTTTTCAAGTGACGCGACAGTCGACTCGACAGGTCCAGGCAACCAAAATACCGGTCGCCTTGGTGACTTTGCTGTTTTTAACCAGCATCCTGCCGCAGTTGATGCTGAACTTTTCGACTCTTTTCTTGATCTCGACTGGAACGCGATCGAGCAATCCGCAGGAGCTGCAGCTGCAGCAGGCGGTTCACTCTTTTCTCCGACGGCTCTTCTGGGGCCGTCGTCTGTCTAAAGCAGGATCGGTTCATTCATTCCAGCCAGGAACCATCAAGGACACCATTACCAGTCTAAACCCATCGGTGATTGAGGAGATTGTGACAGAATTCCGGCAGGGTCGTAAGGAGGTAGCCCGCGGACTTTTGGTGAAGGCGTTATTGTCAAGTCGAAGGATACTTGGCAAGGACGAGAGGGAAACTAAAGGAAAACTGATCCTTTTGCTTCGTAGGAAGTAGGAGATGAATCTTTTTTTTTTTTCGTAAATCTCTCATTCTTTTTATTATTATTCCGCTTTATCAGGACGCGTCGTAGTTTTGTTGTAGAAGCATGCAACTGTCATTCTTTTTTTGTACATCTTTTTTTTTTTTTTGTTAATCCCAATTTGTAAATTAGTTTCATTAATAGCATCTTCCTCACCTTTTCCTTTTTTTTTTCTCCAAATACGATATCATTCAATACAAATTAAAAGCCTTTCTTGCTTTTTCTTAAAAAAAAATATGCACGATGTTTGATGTGAATGGAAAGAAATGGTTTTTATTTTTATAATTCTTAACATTTTTATGGTTTAGTAAGAGCTGTTCCGCTAAAACTATTATTGAATGTAAGGTTACACCATTTTGATAGGCGATCGGCGGTTCAACCGAACCGAAAGTGATTAAGTCTGGAGTAAGAGCACTGAATCCTCGCTCCAACCTCCATTTGCTTCTTACTCCGAAGGGAACAAGTAAGGGACCGGTCAAGGAGTTTTATATCCTCGCTTTTTTCACCCACATCAATGTTGTCAATGGGCGCTTTTTAAGTGCCAAGTTGTTTTTGTTGTGGCAACATGGCAAAGATGGCATGCATGCATTTATTATTTGTTTATCTATTTGCATAGACATGCATGTCTGTATGTAAATATGTATATGTTTATATAAAGCATGGAATGTATTAAAGTATTCCATGCTTGCTCTCTGTTAATTGTAATTACATCCAGGTTTATTCAGGTGAATGGCTAATGCCAAGGTGAAGTCAGGTAAAGGCAGGTTAGGGTTTCGTTGAACGTGTGATATGACTTGCTGTGATTCAAAGTAATCTAAATAAACATAAAGACTGATTTTCTATTTGTCTCCACATTTCTCTTTTTTTCTTTTTCTTTTTCTTTTTCTTTTTCTTTTTCATTTTTGTTTTCATTTTTGTTTTTTCTTTTCTTATTTTCTTTTTTGCTCTTACTCTTGCTCTCCTTCCTTGTTCGTTCTAGCTCATTCTTCATTTCTTTCATTTCTTTATTTCTTTATTTTTTTTTTTTTATTTTTTTTTTCTCTTTTCATTCTCATTCCATTTTTCCTAACTATCTCATCATGTCATCCACTTATACCCCCCTTGCAGATATTCCAAAGGTGAAGAACATTCCATTCAATCGACATTCACCTTTTTTTTTTTACCTTCTTATCACAGTTTACTGAAACCGTTGGACTTACACGTTACTTTTTTTTTTTTTTTTTTTCCCTCTTGTGAACCGACTTGTAACAATCACTTTGGAAAATAATATTAAAATAATGACAATAACAACAATGATAATAAAAACACTAACGAACAGGTTGTCCAAAGCCTGCGTTCGACCTTTTTCAGCGGCATCACTCGTCCGCTCGAATTCCGTAAACAACAGCTTCGAGGTTTGTACAACCTTTTGGCGGACAATGATGCAGCTATCCGTGAAGCGGTCTTTCAAGATCTTCATAAACCCCCTACGGAGCTCATGATTAGTGAGACGGGGATGATCAAACAAGAATGCATCGATGCCATCAAAAACCTAGAGAAATGGGCCGCAAACCGGTCTGTGAAGACGAGTATTGTGAACAAGTTTGATAATGTTCATATCCGTAAAGATCCTCTGGGGATGGTCTTGATCATCGGTGCTTGGAACTATCCCCTGAACCTGTTGTTGGGCCCTGCGGTCGGGGCCATTGCAGCAGGAAATACTGTTATCTTGAAACCATCAGAGATCTCCCTGAACACCGCAGCCCTGTTGACGAAACTGTTGCCCAAGTATTTGGATCAACGGGCTTATAGGGTCGTCAATGGTGCGGTTGAGGAGACGACGTTGCTGTTGGAGCACAAATTTGATCATATCTTTTATACCGGAAATGGACAGGTCGGGAAGATCATCATGGGAGCTGCAGCAAAGCAGCTCACCCCCGTAACCCTAGAACTTGGTGGCAAGAGGTAAGGGACAACTCTTTTTTTTTTTTTTTTTTTTTTTTTTCGCTCTTTTTTTTTTCCCCCTTTTTTTTTCCATAATCAAAAAAAAAAAAAAAAAAAAAAAAAAAAAAAAACACCTTTTTAATGACATGGGTTTTATGACAAATATGGTGTTAATTAAAATGGATGTTGTTATACACAAGGTTATTGGGTAACATGGTTGGGGAGAAGAAGAAGGAAAAGAAAGTGAAGGAAGAAGAGGAGTAGGGGGCTGATTGTCTTCACATGTTAACCTCTTTGTCCATGGGGAGAGAATATTTGAAATGTGTAATAAGCATGTTATACTTTCCTACTATCCTATGCTCCTGTTATTGTATATATACATTAATATTATTGTTATTATTCTACTGTAACATTAACTCTAACTATCGTCGGAGCGATAGTGTAATGACGCGCCATTCGCATTACTCTCTACACGATCGACTATGTTTACATTCACAAAATATGTGCTCTACAAAAAAAAAAAACTCTGTAGCCATTGTCATCCATCCAAAGGATCCTTTCCTTTCCTTTTCCTTTTCCTTTTCCTTCACTATCATTATATCTTCATATCTTCATATCCTCATATCTTTTACAATACGCGTGCAAAGAAATGTCACTAGCCATTGTCCTCTTCGGATAAGATATTATCAAAAAAAAAAAAAAAAAAAAAAAAAAAAAAGCTCTCATCCTCAGTTTGTACATTCTTTTTGGTATTCTGGCATGTGGCATATTTGTATATTTCACGGGGTACTCTTTGCATGTAATACATTTAATATGAATCTGTATGCTCATTCAACATGAACGTGGCCCAGGAAATTTGTTTGTTTTGTTTACAAGTTTCTTTAATTGCGTGTAATTTTTTTGTGGAGAAAAAATGTTAAACAAACAACAAACAACAAAGAAAGACTGGAAACTCGGAAGGTTTTTATCCAAAGGAAGGATATAATCGTTGTCAGCATGGGTCACACAGAAAGGAATAAAAAACGTGCGCCTATATACAAATCTACACCACACTACCACACTACCACACCACCACACTATACAATATTTTATATTATATTTCCTTCTCCCTCCCCCTTTGTTCTCTTGGATGTTGAATGCTAATGCTTCGGACAAACTCAACGTCATTGTCATAAAATCATTTTCAGTTCCTTTGTTTCCTCCTATATTCAATTAAACGCGATTACCACATTTTTTTTTTTTTACCTATTGCTAATCATATTTATTTGTCTTGTCTCCTATACAGCCCAGTGTTTATTTCTCGTGATGTCGACATTCCAATCACAGCCCGTCGTCTCTGCTGGGGTAAATTCTTCAACTGTGGTCAAACCTGTATCGCACCCGACTATCTGATTGTGGAACGTGGTATTGAAGACAAGTTGGTCGAAGCATTCAAAGCATCCGTTCAAGAATTCTATGGCTCTTCTGTCCAGAGCTCAAGCTCGTATGGCCGTATCGTCAACAAGAATCATTTCGACCGACTCAAGGCCCTGTTGGATCAAACAAAGGGCAAGGTCGTCATGGGCGGTCAGATGGATGAGAAGGACCTATTCATGGCACCGACTTTGGTCCTGGATGTCGATAGAGATGACAAATTGATGGAAAATGAGATCTTTGGACCTATCTTGCCCATCCTTGTCGTCGATCGACTGGTCGAAGGCGTCAAGTATGTAAACCAACGTGATCAACCTTTGGCTCTCTATGTCTTTAGCAAGAACAAGAAGGCGATCGATTACATTTTGGATCATACACGGTCTGGAGGAATCGTCGTCAACGATTCATTGGTTCATTTCATTGTCTCCAACTTGCCTTTTGGTGGAACAGGGCCATCCGGCATTGGTAATTATCATGGAAAGAGATCATTCGATGTCTTTTCACATGAACGCAGCGCTTTGATCAAGACCATGGGCATGGAAAAATTAAATGATTTGAGATATCCTGTAAGTACAACAATAACAATTATGATTATAACAACAACAATAACAACAAAGCATGCATTTACACACATTACACACATTACACACATTACACATGCATATGTACATAATCTCTCTCTCCATCTTCTCTCTCTTTTATTTTATCTCCAAGAGGAATGATTTTCTTTGCTAATCATGTGTCTCCCTTTTCATTATTATTATTATTAATTACTATTATCACTATCATTACTATTATTAATTAGCCTTATACCGAGAAAAAGATGCGCTGGCTGGATTGGTTCCTTTGGGACAAGGCTAGTTTCTCTGGTAATACCAACAATGGAGCATCCGGTTCCAATCCCAACGGCCATAATTCCTCGCCTCGTTTGCCAGAGGGACCACATGCTCGTAAGTCTGACAAGTTTGGTCGTGTTGGTTCAACCAGTTCCAAAGCTGAAAAGGCAGTCAACAAAGATACTGCAGCTGGCAAAGCCAACAACAGCAGCAAGACAACAGTTGCAACAGCAATAACAACAACAGCAGCAGCAGCAGCAGCAGCTCCTGTTATTGACTCTACCACAGCTACAGCCACTAATTCCATCAAGACTGAGGACACTGCTGTCGACAACTCAAAGGACACAGAGAAGGAAGATAACAACAATAACAAGACTGACAACACTGTTGAAACTACTGCCGCTGCTGTAGCTGTCTAAAAAAAAAAAAAGAAAAGAAAAGAAAGAAACCCTGTGAGCGCTGGTCAGTTCATCAGGCATCTTCTTTCTCTTAATAGCTCTATTACTTTTATCTTTTTTAAATGTAAGAAAAAAAAATATTCATTGCAACAAATCACTACCATAGTACATACATATTTACGTCTATTTGTGGTTTCATTATTAATAAATACGATTGATACCCTGATATTACATGTACAATGTGAAGCAAGCAAGCAAAGCTTGCGGACGAAATTATCTCCTACATTTTATCTTTTGTATATTTATTGATGAATAAGTAATGTTGTAAAAAATTAAAAAATGAATGACTAGTATTCTACAATCCCATAAAACACGGATATTAAACAAGAACGATTTTTTTCTTTTCTTTTCTTTCTTTTTTCTATTTCTTTTTTCTGTTTCTTTTGTTTCTTTTTCTTTTTCTTTTTTCTTTCTTCTTTTTTTTTTTTTTTGCTTTGTTAATTTGATTTCTTGGTTGAACTTGGCAATTTGATTCCTTAGTTGGACTTGGCAAGGACCAATGCCAACAAAGCCATGCGCACATAGAGTCCATATCTCATCTGACGGAAGTATGCGGCACGTTGATCAAAGTC